TAATGTGTTCCACTTCTAATCCTAGTATACAATATAGACAGAACTCTAAACTAGAATAGTTAGATTACTGAGTTTGTCCAACTACAGATAACCATTTAGGATTATAAGGAAAGTATTAAGTTCAGAGTCACTAACCTTAGAAAGACAGACATCTTTATTAGATTTGAATGGCTCAAGGCTTACAACCCTACTATTGACTGGTTAGAGTAGACACTTGTGTTCAATCAGTGTTCTAAGTCTTACAACTACCTTATACTACTGTTCTGAGTAAATACAAACACTTCTAATGTTACTAACAGTTCTGATGAAGGTAACTAGTTGTTCTTCTTTGACTAGGATAAATATGTGGATACATATTCTAGTTAAGACAGAATAGAGTTAATCTAAAGAATGTCTAAGATAGAACCAGTCTAGAACCCTCTCAGAACAACTCTATTCTAGAACACATATAGGCTCAGCCTGCTAGATTTTGTCTGAGAGTTCCCTAAAGTCTTTAGTAAAGAGGAATTTGACTAGCTTCCTAAACACTGTCTCTAGGACTATACAATTGAATTGACTAAGGGTTTCTAACTTAAGGATTGTAAGGTCTACCTACTTAACAGAGACAAGTAGGAGGTGCTCAACAAGTTCCTTTGAGAAAATCTTCAGAACAGCTAGATCCAACCCTTAAAGTCCTCTATAGCCTCCCCTTTCTTCTTCATTAAAAAGAAAGATAGAAAGCTCTGTCTAGTCTAGGATTATTATTGTCTCAATAAGAGTACTGTCAAAAACAAGTACCTACTCCCTCTAATTCAGGAGCTCATTAATAAGACACATACATTTAGGGTTTTTACTAAGTTGGATGTTTGATAGGGGTATAATAATATTTGGATCCAAGACAGAGATGAGTAGAAGACTGTGTTCTAAACTAATTACAGATTGTACAAACCAACTATAATGTTCTTTAGACTAACTAACTTGCTTACAACATTCTAGTCATTCATGAATCACATTCTTACAGATCTGATTGACTTAGAGCATGTTAGTGTGTATCTGAATAACATTCTGATCTTCACTCAGACAGTTGAGCACTATTACTAACTAATCTGAGCAGTTCTACAATAGCTCTAAGATAATAAACTGTTTCTCTAAGAAGTAAAGTACTCTTTTACACAGGAGTCAGTAGATTATCTAGGCTTTGTGATTGGTAGAGGAGAGGTCTGTATAGATCTGGCAAAGGTAACTACAGTTTAGAACTGGTCATAACTTTAGAACCTGAAACAAGTCTAAGTATTCCTTAGGTTTGTAAACTACTACTAATACTTTATTCAAAGCTTTAGTACTATTACCTGGCCCCTTCACAATCTTACTAGCAAAGATGTTCCTTAGTAATGGGAGGATCAGTAGCAGTCTGTGTTTGAGTCCCTAAAGTAGGTTATTACTAGTAAGCTTGTATTAGTAGTTCTGACAGTTGTAGACAAGTTCTGAGTTGAAGCTAACTCTTCTGACTTTGTGAATAGAGTAGTACTGTCCTAGTTTATTGACAGAAAGTAGTGTCTAATAACATTCTAATCAGAATCCCTCTCTGTAACAGAACAGAACTACTCTATCTATAATAAGGAACTCCTTACAATTGTCTGTTCTCTAGAGGAGTAGTGTTAATATTTTCTTAGTGTTACACAGAAGTTTGAGATTTAGAGTAATCACTTTAATCTCTAATACTTCCAGGTGCCTTAGAAGCTTAACTGCTACCAAGCCTACTAGATGTTAGAACTGTAGGACTATAACTTTGTACTAACCTACAAACTTAGAATGTAAATAATGAAAGCCAATTTACTCTCAAGACAAGTAGGTTATGAAAGGGAGGAGAATAATAATAAAAATCTTGTTCTCCTAGACAATTCCTGTTTCACATCTGAGACAATCCAAGAGATCTGACTCAAATCTAAGGATGTTGACTTTGTCACCTACATACAGTAAGCTCTGAGACACACACAGGACTAGGTTGTAGTAAAGTAGTTAGAGAAGCAGGCTAGGGATTAGGAGGAGGATAAGGATGGACAGGTTTACTAGGAAGGCCAACTGTACATTCTAAAGGATTAGAAGCTGTAGAAGGACATTGTCTGAGCTTATTACAACAATCTGACTATAGGACATCTAGACTGACACAAAACATAGGAACTTATTACTTAGAACTACTAGTAGTCTAGAATATAGAGGGAAATCCTAAAGTACATAACTGGTTGTAATACATACTAATAGACTAAGACCTACCAGACAAGGGTTTAGACTCTCTTACATCTGTATTAGACCCTGGATCACTCTTAGGAAGAAGTCTCAGTAGACCTGATTAGTAAGCTATCTAAGTCTTAGAGTTATAACACTATCTGTATAATTGTTAACTAATTCTCTAAGTAAGTCTATATGGTTCTGACCTGAATGAAACTCACTTCCAAAGGTATAGTACACATCTATTAGGATCACATTTTCTAGTTGTACAGACTCCCTCAGAAGCTTATTCACAATTGTGGACTGTAATTTGAGTCAAAATTTATGTAGGACTTGTATACACTTCTCAGAATTTAAGGGAACCCTTCTACTACATATTACTTACAGACTGATAGTCAAACTGAGTAAGTCAATCAGGAGATTGAGCTCTATCTTCAGATGTTCATTAATCATTAGTAGTTAGACTAGTCTGAATGGTTAGCTCTGACAGAATTTGTACACAATAACTAGTAACACTCTATAACAGGACAGTTCCTATTCTTCCTCAATTATAGGAGACATCTGTACTAGAGAACAGTTCTAAACCAGAACAGTAGTTCTGAATCTGTAACAGACTTTGTAGAACAGATGTACAGAACCAGGGAGGACACATAAGCTCTTTTAGAGAAGGTAGTATAAGTTATAAAGTAGAACTATAATTAGAAGAGGTCTACAGCTAAGGATTACCAGCCTAGTAACAAGGTTATACTAGAAGCTACTAATCTGACCTTAGATTACTTAATAAAGAAGTTAGACAACAAGTGCTTCAGACCCTTTATTATTAAAAAGAAGGTTAGTGTCTCTGCTTACAAACTCTAACTTCTGACAACATAAAAGTACATACACTTAGTGTTTAATAAGGTTCTGTTGTCTCAGTACTATGATTCTAATTTTCCTTTACAACAAAGACCCCCTCTGCCTCTACCAGAACTCATTGGTTCTGAACCAGAATACAAAGTAGAGTACATAGTAGATACTAAGCTACTATACAGAAAACTCAAATTCCTTGTTTACTAGAAAGGGTACCCAGTTGAGGAGTGTACTTAGGAACCTGCTGAGAACCTTACTCATACTCCTAAAGCAATCCAAGACTTCTATTAGCTTCATCCTAGTACTCTGTACAAACTCAGCCTTACAGATTTTTAAGCCTTACTATTCTGACCTATGTCTAAGCTACTAACTAAGCCCTATGTTTACTAATTAGGATGATTGGTTTTAGAGGGGGGGTAATATTACAATTCTCTACTCTCTTACCTTTAGTTCTAAGGGTTCTACACCCTTCTGTACTAGAACTTAGGACTTCTGTCTCTTAGAGACACTGTCTATAAACTATATACATACTAACTCTTACTACTACCCTTCCTTACTTCATCATTCCATTCCTTTGACTACTCCTTCATTCTCTGTTTATTCTATAGTCTCTTACCCTTTGTCCATCCCTTCATTCTTTGTACCTTTATCTTTAACATTCCTTTCTTTCATTCTTTATAGCTTATTATTCTTAGTAGCTCATACTCTCTAAGTACTCTTGTATAGTTTAGTATATATAGGCATACAAGATCAGACTAGTCCTATAGTCTTGATCTTGTCTACTCCAGGTAGTCCTGTACTCTTAGACTTACTCTATATACTCTACTCTTGTCTTACTCTCTCTCTCTACCTGTTCTGTAAGTTCTGACTATGTTCTAGTACTCACATTCTGTATTTCTGTTGTGTAGAATAGTTGTAGCCTGGGTCCCCTCACTGAGCCTTCAGGTCCTCTCTATACTGTCACTAACACATACTTTTGTGTCTGATTCCTCTACCTTAATAGTGTATAAACATGTCCCTATTAATGAATCTGTAGTAAATTGGACCAAAAATGACTCAGTATTAATACATTCCAAATTTGAAAGTCTCAACAATATGCTTACACATTTATGAAGTAAAATTTGTAATCTTCATTCTTATCTTTAGGTTGGTGAGCAAGGGATAGAGGCAAGAGTGTCTAGACAGTACCCTTAGAGAATTGTAGGATTAAATGAGCACCTTAAAGAATAAGGTCTGGGTTAATGAATCTAAAGGTACTAGGATCTGTATAACAATAGAATTACAATTGAGAGAGTTGTCTCTTAACAAACAAACCATTCTTATTGACTTTCATCCAGTAAACCTAAGCAAAATTGAGCTGATTAAAGTTTTAGAAGTTAGAGTCAGCCCTTAAACTTATATAGCTGACCTCTGTATGAAAAAGTCTGATTATTCAAGTGTAAATGTAGGGATGTTTAGTGTTATCTAATAGTAACATAATATTAGTATGTGTCTGTAGATTGAGTGAATCTTAGGCTCTCCTAATGTTGTAGGTTGTGTAATTGATGTGTAGTACCTTAAGACAGAAAAGCTTGTCATTTTTTATGTAGAGGCTACATAGCTTGTCTGTAGTGAAAGTCTTGTCTTCCTGTTTCAAGAGAATGTGTCCAAGCAAGTGCTTACAAAGACTTGGCAGGAAATTCTAGCAAGTGTGTAATGTATCAGTACTTGTATACATGAAATAGAAAGAGGAGACTAATAATGTACTCACCTGTAAAGCTGGGTCAGAATCATTATCTGAAAGCTACTAATAAAGATGGATAGAATCCTTTTTAATACTACTATGTTATAATAGACTTCAAGATCCCTTAGCTTGATAGGATCCCTAGATTCATTATTAAGGCTGATACAAGAATTAATCTTATGTATCTTATAGGTCCTACCCTTTAGTTGTGAAACTGCCTTTATAGTGTCTTACTTGTTTGTTCTAGCATACATGTGTTTGAGTCTCCTATACTGAGACTCCCCCTGTGAAGATACACAATCAAGATAAGTATAGAGAGTGTATTATAAAGTAAACACTTAACAATTTGTGTACTGTATGAATCAGTTGTACCAAATTGATGAATAGTAGAAGTATATGTACTAAGAGAATAAAATTTCAGTGTATTAATGTTGAGTGTTTTAGTTTTCACACTAGATCTGATTGTTTTTGTGTTTAGTCCCTTTACCTTACCCTTATTAAGTAGGACAGCTTGACAATATCCTTAAGTAGTAATCTCTTTTAAGAGTTTGTGTGTATTGTAGGCTAAGTATACAGTCTTCTTAAAGTATTGTACCTAGTATCCTAGTAATGTTGTTGTCTCCTCAAGGAACCAAACTGTAGTCTCTGTATGAATGTAGAGCTTTGTAAGTGTATGTTAGGTTGTTAAGATGAATAAAAGGTCAAGGACCACTTTATTATATTTCTTTAGTAGTAAATCCTTAAAGGCTAGTATAGTACACTAGGTAATACACATTCTATTATAGTGTATATATATTAATAGTCTTGAGGGAGGTACTTACCTGTAGAATATCTTTAAAGTCTCTGGCTACAATTTTTTTCATTACAGATGTATTTCCAGAAAATTGCTAGATTGTATCCATTCTGAATGTAGGAGTATAGTAATACCTAAAATATAATGAATATATCTAAATAGATGACAGTAAGACAATTGATGAGGCTGTAACATAGATACTTACCTCCTATTAAGTATTAGTATACTCTCTCCTCCCTACACAAAAAGAATACATAAGAGATAGGTAAATATTGTTTTCCAGACCCTCAGCTCAAATTTGTGTATAGAGTCTAGGACAAATAAGTCAAAGAAATTGAATCCATACTTGTGAAGTACAGAAAAAGTATTCTATAAAAATAAGATAAGTGAGTAATAAGGAGTATTGCCTGGATAGTAACAGTTCACTTACATTAACTAGTATGAGGGATCTGTCCTTAAGGAGATTTTTTATCTAGGTGGATTCTACAGGCTTCTCTAATTGAAAAATCTACTGTTGTGTTCTAGAAATCTTCTCTTACTGTACTGTATCATTAATATGTTTGTGAGTTTGTCTTTGTTGATTGGCTCTAGTACCAAGTATATAGTTGAATTTGGTTAGCATAATATCTGTAGGGCTTGAGAATTTGCCTAAAACACATAAGCTAGTAATGAGTATTCTGTAGCAATGTTCAGTTATCCTTGTGTAAATTGAGGTGAAGATTGTAGTACATGTAAACAAGAAGATAGCAAATAGATACAAGACATACTTCTCAGGGTAGTCTGCTGAGTAAAAAGCAAACCTTAGGAAGAGTCTATATAATTTTCTATCTGAGTAGTCAAATAGAATACCAGAGCTGTATACCTTGAGAATTTCAGGCTGTAAGAGGATATAGGACAAGACAGCTTGAAATAGTTTGTACTTTAAGTGAGTAAGAAGTTCCAAAGATGCAGATCATTTATAAACCTTATTATATATATCTTGAACTAATACTGAGAGCTTTATTAATGTAAATACTGTATATTAGAACATGTATTATAAAGAACAGTAGAAATATAGAAGGAATGTACTTACTGAAGGAATATATGTTAGATGATAGTAAGCTGTCTACAAAGATTTATAATGTATGTACTTAGATTAGCCTCTAAAGTACATGTATATTAGTCAAAGTGATACAGAACTGAAATTTGTAAGATGTGTTGAGTCTGAATAGAGAATAAGAGGAAGTACAAAGTTTTCAGTACTGTCTTACATTAGAAAGCTTTGTACTTCTTTATAGGCTTCTAACTAATAATCCAAGTAATATAGTTTACTATAAATATGTTCAGGAGAGGAGTTGTACTTAAGGAAGAGGAGAGATAATTAAGGGTTAGTAGAAAGTTTACTATACAGCTCTAATACTATACATACTGTTAGTCTCTAAAGCTCCCTGTAAGGTATATAATGAAAAGGAGGAGAACAAGGGTTGTCTAAGACTTTAAAGATTGTTGTTAGTAAGGGCTAGTAGTGTATTCCCCTGACTTCAAATTCAGGAGCTCTTTCTTCACCCTTAGACTACTTTTTATTGTCTTCAGAAGGTAGCTTAATTTTAACCAATCCTTTATACTAGTTATTAGAATGGGAAGACTTGGGGGAATCATTATTATAGTGTAGACTGTTAATGTGTGAATTCTCCTACCTTACTCTGTAGTCTACTAAGTCTAATAGCTTAAAGTCTGGATGAAGTAAGACTTTGTGTACAAGGACATCTAACTTGTTATTTGTCTTTTCTTTCACTTTACAATTTGCCTAGCTTATTAAAAGGTAAGTTACTACATTATTAAACAGTACATATTTATTAGTAATAAGTTTAGAGAGTGAGGACATTTGAGTCAGAGTATCACCTACAGAAAGTCCAGGTAAGTTATATAAGTCCTCAAGGTTGAGCATCTTGTCAGGAAAGTTATCTGACAAATCTGGGTACTCTTAAAGTAACTTGTATTTGTTTGGCTCAGACAAAAAGAGCCTCCTTCTTGTTCCTTACATGATTTCTAGAGTTACTAGAGTTAGAGAGGGGACTCAAGGTAGTAGAGAAGGAAGCTAAGATAGTATAAACTTAAGAAGGTGTGGAAGAGATACAGTAGGAAGTACAGACAAGTTCAAAGTAGATAGAAGGAGATCTGTAAATTACTTTAGTAGTTGTTTCTTGTGTTTAGTTCCTTCAGGAAACTTAAGAGGCTTGTCAAATAGGGCTGGAACAGTCTGAGTATTATCCTCTACTTTGAATGCCTGAGTCTCAGCTATACAAAATAGTGAGCATTGTTTAAGAATCAAGATACTATTATACATACCTAACCTTATTCTCTTTTTCACTTTGTTATTTGACTCTCTAATGTGTTTTAGAGAGTTCAGACTACTACTTGTATTAACACAATAATTGTAATAGATTACTCATACATTCTTCTTCTTAAAGACCTTACTATAAGTCTTACAAATAAAGGAAGGCATTTTAAAGAGTTAGAGAAGTACAGTCTAGTCTAACATATGCCTTTAAGTGTCTACTTTGCTAGTATCTAACATACAGAGGTTTACAACAAGATAGATTAATATTAGTAATCTTTACTGACTAAGACTGAGATTTAGATACAGTAATATGTACTACTACTGTTAGTACTCCTTTATAGTAGTATAATTTACAGATATACTTACTGTAACAGTATATGTACCTATACAGCAAACTGTAGAAGAATATTAAAGCTTATATCAGCCCTTCTTAATTTACTTCCCTTACTACCTTGTACACAGGTTGTAACACAAGTCTGAGACTATGCTAGCCTGAGAGTACTCTAGAAAGTAGTAAGAATTAAGAAAGAAGACTTGTACAAGCTGTACAAATCATAACAATCACTATTTGTAACACTACTAGACATTGTTTATTACTTTGTATAGTTCATCTCTGTCTTCTTAATAATTTGTATTTGCTTTAAGTGAGCAATCATTATTTTCCACTCTTAGTACAAGTCTGAGAAGTGGGTCAGACCTCTTCCTAAGACTTGTACAGACATATACTCTATATAGTAAGTATTAAGGTACACTATAGTCCTATAATAATAGTACTGTCCTCCATACTAAAGTGCAAGTATCTTAGTGTAAGTAAATTGAGAAGTGCTACTAGACTAGAAGGGAAATGGTAAGCATTTTCTTAATTACTGAGTAGTATTAGATCTACTCATATGTCAACTTTAATAACAAGTAGGTTCTATATTCAAGCTGTACAAAGTCCATTATTATAGTTACAGTCTACTGTATGTTATGAAAGATACCTTCAATTCTGTACATAAAGCTAACTTGAAGTTCCCTAGCAGCTTGACTAATATTTAACCTCTAGCTCAGATACAGACTAATATTAATGATTTTAAGCTAGTCAATTTATACATTTATTAAATGTTACTAAATATACAGCTGAAACACTGAATTTACACATGTCTAAGCTAAGTATTTTATGTGTGTAAGACTATGTACAGTGTATACAGAGTACTGACAGTCAAGTGACTACATACTTCTTATTTTAAGTATATTAAATCCTCTCATTTTGGATACACCTACTTTTCCTAGCATATTTTTGTTAGATAAGTCCTTCCCCCCCCCCCCCTACCAAGAGCTCTTATTGTCAATACTCTCAGGCTCTTGCCCTCAGTCACAGTTACCTTACTTCCTTGTCCTCACTCACTCACTCCTTTCATCCTCTTTCTATCTTTGACACAGAAAGTATTAATATTACTACTTGTTAGTAGTATCCTAGTTAGTACTGTTCCTTGAATCACTTTTAATAACTTGCTAGACTTTGCTGACTTACTCTCATACTATCTCTAACACTCTCAGTCCTTGTTCTCTTGTCTTAATCCATCTTCCTCTCAAGTTACTTAATATGCTAGTTTGTTTTCACTCATACAAACTCAGGTTGTCCTCCCTACCCTCTCTCAACCAAGAACAAGCACTAAGCCTTGACCCAAGTAAGGTTCCTTCTCTACCAAGTGTCCTGCCACCTTCAAAACAGTAAACACTTGAGGAGAGGAGCCTTGTAACAAAATCTGACTGTTTAAAGCAAATCAAGTGAGTCATCTTGTTGTTTTTACACACTATTACATTCACTTATAACATTTATAATACACAGGTACAGAGACACACTTGAACAAATATGTTAGCTCTTACAGTCTATCAAGTAGAACATTAACCTTTAGGTTAACATTCTAGGTGCTATGAACTATAGTATAACTGTTGAATCTCTTGAAATGTATTCAAGAATAGAAGTGATAGTTACAAACTATAACACTGAGGACATAGAACTTTACAAGAGAGTTATTACAAATGCATAAGTTTGATTATATTCTGCTCCTCTGGTAATTACTAACAACTCTGTGTCAGTTATGAAGAAGAGAAGGACCTTCTCTTCAGGGTTTATAAGAGTGTTCTTGTACTCTTTTCTAATGAGAGGGCCTATTATAAAGTACTTTCTAGTCTAGAGGCTAAGACACTTTGGGTTAAGGTATGTGTATAACACAATAAAGTTGTGCCTATCTATTCTATCACATTCCTTACTGTTCTACTCTAGTTGACAGACAAAATAACTTTGCAGCCAATGTCCACTCTACAGCCAATACATGTGTGTGTGTACTATCCCTATCTATCTTCATTCCCTCAGAATTCATTCTCCATCTCTGTCATCAGACTTTCATTATTACACACTGTATTCTATAGTCACTAATGATACTAATCTATTCTATTTACTTTAGGTGAACAAGAAAGCAGAGTAAGGTCACAGTAACAACACATCTACACTCAAACAGAGGGGGCACTACTATGTACTCAAGGAAGGCTGGCTGGAACTACTGATTGACAATCAACCAAGTAAGATGGGCAGAGGTATATACTATCCACAATTGTTACAGATGATTGTACTAATGCTACTCCTGCATACACACAGTAGCAAGGAAAGGTATACAGACTAACAGATGAAGTCAAACAAAAAATGAACACTCTTACTCATATCCTTACTGTATAGTTTTGAAGACAATGTAAAGTCAAAAAAATACCTAATTACACATAGGTCATTCCCTACATTCCTGTATGAGGAAGGGTCATACAATCTAGAAGTAATGGACAAGGGCCTATTCTAAGACTGTTTTCTTGTCAAAGTAAGTACACTCCTATTATTCTTTACAAATACTAATACTTCTTTTGTAGTGCCTTTGGCTGATCTTTATGAGCCCAAGTTCTACAGATGCTGAGCCTGGTAGTAAAGGTAAAACAATGTAGGCAAATAATGCTGAGATTGTAGGCATAAAGTCCATCACCCTAGAGATGATTGCCTACATATGTGTCTAGGTAAGTACTCAGGCTGTAATAGTAATATAATCTAGTGACACTGACAATACTTTTGATATGATAGGTGTGCTTTTTTATTTCAACACTTGAAACCTTTGGCAAGGTCAATGAAAATTTTAATTTCAAAGTGTTTTATTACACTATTCTTAAGTTTTTCAAAGACTGTAAGTCTCTATAGGTCCAGGACACACTTAATTAGTGGAATAGGTATGTTTTATATATTTTTAAATTTACTTAAAGCTACATTAACTAACTACTAGGTTTCTAGGCAGGTTTTCGGCTCCTCTAGTGAATTGCTCACTATTAAACCTGAGGAGGACAAGGAGTCATTGATTGCAGCCATTTTGAGAGCTCAGAAGGCTTGTAAAGGGTGTAGACAGTTCTAAGTAGGAGGATTGGCTGGCCAGGGTCAAGGACTGGCTACTCAAACACAAGACACTCACCTGCCAGACAATACACACATGGATGAGGTTTAGGTTTGTTTTTCCACTTTCTAATTCTATGTATTGATGTTCACCTTACTTGCCTCATTTAGCAAGTCTTGTAACTTCTATCAAAGTCACTTCTCCTCTGCTGCTATTGTGCTGAGCAGTTGTTGGGCAAATGACATTGCCTGTTTCTTCCCAGAGTTTGCAAATGCAAAAAAAACATTGCAAGAAAGTCTTATAGCTTATATTAGCTTATAATGGTTCAAAATATGTAAATACTGTGAAAACTGTAAAATGCAAAATAATTGATCTCAATTTCTGAGAAACAGTATAAGGCATTATAAGATCCAAAAGGTTTGTCAATATTCAAAAGGTTTATTAGTATTTCAAGCCTAAGGAAAGCTTGCTGTTCTTTATAATAAGTAAAGACATTGTATACATTATAAGGCATAAAAGATTTGTTCACATTATAAAGGTACATAAAGTTTTTTATCCCTTGTAATAAGTAAAATGACTTATATTTGATCTTGAAAATGATGAGGAGTATATACTATAGGAAGGATAGTATTAATTATAATGTATGCAAATTAATATAACAGTCTAAAAGACTGTTCCAAACCAATATACATTTTTCTGCCTTATAATGTTGACAGAAGCCTTACTAAAGAATTGCAATGTATATACAAACTCTACTTATATTTATTTTACTTTTTTGCCCTTACATGCATTAATAATGATTCAAATTATTTATATTTTCGTGGCAATATTACAATGTTACTAAATACTAATTATAGCACTAACAGGTGCAGGAGCAAGAAGAAAAGTGGTGAAAGCAGAAAGCATACTGTATGAGTGTCAGGGCAAGAAATGAGACAAACAGCTGATCTTGTTAACACAAAGCAAGGGAAATGGTAAGACATTATAGTACAATAGAATAGTAATAGACAGGTTGAAAAGTTAGGGACAGGTAGCAGGAGGTAGACTGTATGCACAGACACTGGCACAATGTGTCTCATTCACTCTGTCTTGTGCTTGCTATTTTCCTCGCTAAGTTCAAAAAATCATGTGATTTCTTACTTTTCTTCACTTCGCTCAAAATCAGAAAGTCTCATTATATATGCAAACGGCTGTAATAGCTGAATACTCCCACCATTGGTACTTTATATCAAGGGATAGATTGACGCTTTATCGGTAGAAATGTCTATGTACTAGATTTTATGAGAGCTATCTGTAGTCTCAACTTCATTTGGCACTTCATCTGCATCGGCTTCTACACCCTTGGTGAATCGCAATGACATACCCGCGAACTTGTTCCGCATGGCAGCATACTTCTTCCGCTGAACTTGAGAAACGCTTGGTCCGAGTTTTGTAAGGGCAAGGCGGAAGTCATCAAGAGATACGTTAACGTCTTCGCTCTCCGTGGTCGCATCCATGTCGTCGCCAGTAGGTTTGAATACCGCACGTCTCAAAGCATTCACGCCCGCCTCACGCACAAGTGCACTTAAATCCGCGCCGCTGAAGCCTTCGCACCGCTCCCGAACAAGCGCTCCAAGAGCCACCTTAGCCTCATCACCGCCTGCAAGCGGTACCGTGCGGGAAACGGTCCGGGTGATTTCGACCCGCTCATCTGCAGTTGGTAGGTCAACGTACAGCAATTTGTCGAGCCTTCCGGGTCGGCACATCGCTGGATCGAGCATGTCTGGTCTGTTGGTGGCACCGATCACATGCACGCCGCGCCGTTCGTCCAGCCCATCAAGCTCGGTCAAAAGTGTATTGACCATTCGCGCAGAGGACTCGGACTAGGTGAATTGTTCAATTGAGCAAGATACGAAGTGACCATAAAAGAATCCAAACTCACAAGACTGTCATCACGCCGAGGTACGAGAGCATCTAACTCATCAAAGAAGATGACACATGGCGACGAGGCGCGTGCTCTCGCGAAAACTTGACGTACGGCTCTTTCACTTTCGCCTACGTACTATTGACTGTTTAAGAATAAATCAGAGGGGAGGCATAAAACGATTGACCTTGTTAAGCAACTCGGGTCCTTTGACACTGATGAAATTCGCTCCCGATTCATTCGCTACGGCTTTGGCTAAGAGAGTTTTCCCGCATCCTGGCGGACCCCATAATAACACTCCACATGGTGCGGAGATGCCAACGCGCTTGAACAGTTCTGGTCGTCGAATTGGTTGGACAATTGCCATATGCAGTTCCTCCCGTATTGTATGTAATGCTCCAATGTCTGCCCAAGTCACATCCGGCACTGTTGTAAAGCCTTCCCGTTTTGATGAAGGTTGCACTTGCTTCAGAGCTTGCGTGAAGTCTACGTACGAGATGAATAGAGGTGTGAGTTGCGCCTCAGTTAGCGGATTGGGATGAGCAACTAGGAAGTGCACTATTGAATTCGATTGGAGAGATTGAGGGAGATTTGTGAATGTCGACAACTTGAGTGGTTCAGTCGCTCGGTCGACAGTCTGCGAGACCATGCCGCTTGCATCACCGCTGTCTATCGCCATACCATCCTCAGCACCCTTCAATACATCGGGCTCTGGAAGGACAATCGTTCCATCAGACAGTTGCTGAAAGATGCGCTTGACGGCAATGACACCAGCTGCGCCGGTCAGAGCAGCCAAGTCAGCACCAACATAGCCTGGAGTTGCTTTTGCTAAGGCCTGAAAGTCGAAGCCTCCTTCTATCCGTAGCCTCGAACAGAATACACGAAGTATTCTTACGAAGAGTTAGAAGAGTTTACCAAAATAAATACAAGTTAGCTCACTGTGCCCGTGCTTCTTCATCAGGAACTCCCATGCTAATCTCATGATCAAAGCGTCCTGCACGGCGAAGAGCGGCATCTAGTGAATCTGGGCGGTTTGTTGCGCCTATCACAATCACAGGCTTATTGTCTGTCTTGTCCCACGACATGTCTATGGCACCTTCAGCTAACTGTCAACCACTTGAAGTAACATACACCTACCATCCATGCAAGTCAGAAACTGAGCCACTATGCGGCGCTCCATTTCTCGCTGAGCACTTTCGCGCTTCGGAGTGATCGCATCTATTTCGTCTATGAAGAGCAAGCAAGGCGCATTTTTCTAGGTCCCCCGATCGGGGTTATCAAATTAAACTGGAAACTTAATAACGAGTAACGCACTTTCGCCTCCTCAAACGTATCTCGCAGTGTTTTCTCAGATTCGCCTGACATTCCTGACACTATTGAAGGCGCGGAGACACTAATGAACGGAACGCCAAGTTCCTGATAAGTCAGAGATGGAGAGAGGATTCCTATGCATGAATAAGACCACATACTCCTGCAATAGCATTTGCGAGTAGCGTTTTGCCGCAACCCGGAGGACCATGAAGCAATACCCCGCGAGGAGGCTGCACGCCCGTGTGTAGATACACTTCGGGATGACACAGCGGCATTGCAACTAGCTCCAACATTTTCTCCACACAAGCCTCCACTCCGCCTAGGTCTGACAGTCGAGTAGAAGGAGGCGAGTAGTCTTTAGAAGATAAGGATGACTTGTATCTCTTGCTTGCTTCTTCTGCATTGGCAGTACGAGAGGGTCGCAGCTTTCGCTTCACGCCCGAAGTTGGAGGACGCGGTTCCGATTGCCCATCAGTTAGTTCGACGGATGCTTGGTTATCGGCTGCTGAAATGGCTGAGCCATTTTGGTCTTCTTTTGGTGGGATAGTCGATGCAGATGATTCACCGACTTTTGGTGTACCAGGAGGACTTGCAGGTGCCGAAACGACAGATGAGTTCAAGTTTACTTTGCCTCGGCGCTGAGTTGACCAAAGCCCTTGCATGGACTTGTTCAGCGCACTTCTACCCTACGATTCTAAGTCAAAAAACACTGCCCAGGCAGTAAAGGACTCACTGATATCTCCATCCCTCTGCACAGCGGATTTGTCGGTCGGCAACTTTGGGCAAGTCGATTGTCGAAATTTTGGAAGACAGTCGGAGTCGATCACTCTAAAAGGCAAACACTTAGTCATGCCATCTGGTTCTCTCTGCTGCTGCGAGAACATGTCTATATATTATTTTGTTTGGTCTGTGTATGGACCAGCTCGTTGGACTACGCCAAAGAGCTTTTTTTAAACATCTACTAGTGGTGTATTTACAACTAGGAAAGTCTATGTTACGGGATACGTACAATGTCCAGCAAAAGGTAGAATATCACTAGCAGTCCTTATGGCATAGTTGATTGTGAATTTGTGATATGACGGCCCGATATGCGCAAAGTAATGCAGAAGGTAGAATAATGAGTTTGTGAGTTGTGTGTGTAAGAAGTAGTAGGTAGCATGCTTATAGGGCGAGGTCGGGTATGAGTGCGAAAGCAGATGAAGGATAAGTGATACGAGTCAAGTGAAAGACGAGTGACGATGATGGTGAGTTGTGCAGACTAGTGAGTGAGTAAAAGTGCAGTAGAGAAAGGGGAAAGGGATTCAAGTCAAAGTATCAGCGGGCTATCCGAGAGATACAATAGTAAAAAGAAAGCAGAACTGTGTTAAGACAATATTCGAAATGATGGTGAGAAAGGGAGTTTGAGCGAGGTGAGAAAAGCATTATAGTGTCTGCAGGTCAAGTCCTAAGGTCCATAGATTCCGAAGTCCGCGAAACTGGAGCAGAACTGATCATCCTGAGAATGCCATAATCGGTGTTAGTACACGCCAAGAATACGAGTGTAATTGTCGGGACCGACCTAAGCCAAAGTTTCCCTCCACCACTGTTTTCGAGCACGATTTCGTATTCATGTTCAGCCTCTTGACCACCCTGGAGAGCATCTTGCAAGGCGATCTTGCCCTCCGGAGTACCTTCGCCTTGGAGAACCCACTCTCCAGCCCAGCCTGAACTCATTGGCGAGCCCGGTAGGGGATGAGCGTCAAAGGTCGCGAGCCATGCGAAAGTCTTCACACGTGCATAACCGCTTGATGCATGTGATGACGCGACCCTCGTCATTACTACTGAAAGAGAGAACTGTGCGCGAGATGGTGGGAGGATAAGTCGTAAACGGGGATTTATGAATGTCGGGAGGATGTGGATGTAGTAAAAGGGCGAGGGTAAGCTGAGCGCTCCCGCAATAGGGGGAGGTCTCGTCGGGTGGTAAATGTCCAGCTGTTCGCCAGTAAATATAAGCCACCGCCGGTGATCTTTTTCCTGTGCATTTTCTTCCGACTCGTCGACGAGGGGCACATACCCGAAATTGCACACAATGTCACCCACGGATAAATGGTCCCATAAACCGTCGTCAACGAGTTGGTCTTCGCAGGCGGTAATAATCTCGTCGGTGAATACAGAGCAGGGAACAAATACACGTAGGATCGGAGCTCTGTTGCGTTTCGTTGCCGCATACAGATCATGTGGTGATGAGCTAGCAGGGGTCGCACAGTGTCTACTCGAGCTTGGCGATGGCGAACTTCCCAGTGACGAATTGCTTGTATTTCGTGACGACGCAAACCTCCGTTTTGGCGGTAATAGCACACCATCTTCACTCGGTGGTGGTCCGTAGTAAGACCGCCGCCAAGTCCCAGAATAGATCCGCAGTGATTCGGGCTGAGTTGCAGGCTGTGGCAACGGGGGACGCTGTGCATTTCCGCCGAAGATGGAAAGCCGGGAGGTGCTGCGATCACGCCTCACCCTTCCTGCATCCGGCTCAGGAAAAGTACTTTCTGAACCCCAATTTCTGCTCTGCCGCTTCTGAGACTTGAATGTGCGGCCTTTCAAGCTCGACGCAGAGGCTTGAATCGCAGTATCTCCGCTAACAGATGGCGGGCAAGAATGACTCTTGCCTATTACTCCATCTTGGGTGGCATATGACAGTGGGGCAGGGAAAGTCAGTTCACGGAGACCCGTCTGCGTGGAAGACCCGTTTGTCGCTTTCAATACAGCGGAATCGAGATCGGAAGGAACTGGGCGGGCGTTGCTGTGTACCAAATTCTGCAATACTAAGACAGCGCGAGAATGCGCCTGGGAAAGTCTTTGCAGGTGATGTGTAGTATGCATTTGCTCAAAAGTCGGCAAATCACTAGACAGCAGTGATAACGCGTGCATGGGGAAATGTTGTAATGGTGTGTCTAACGCACTCGCTTGAATGAAATAATTAAGGTAAAAGGGTGTTCATGAGCATGATGTTGGACACTCACTGAGTAGCCCAAGGTCAACATAATCCATCCTGACGTTATCCTCCCACAGTCGTCTATCCCTTGCCCTTAGGGCTGTTCGGTATCCGGGGATAAACCGAGAGAAAACAACCTCCTTGATGTTCGCATCAAGAAATACACGACGGATAGCACGCGATGTGCCGCTGAGCGAGTGACAGTCCGCCCAAGAGATAAATTCAAGAAGGCGCGACAAGACCTGACAATTTGCGCATACAGTTGCTAAGCTTGTTGACTGGTCACTCGAGATGAAGCTTGTGCGCGCTGATCGCGTCAGTGGCGACGCCGACATGCTACTAGAACTCCGAGTGACATTGGGCTGTGGAGGAAGAGGTCGACGAGCGAAGGAGACCCTTGGTTGCATCTGACTGAGGCGGTCGTTATCCACAATGTGGGACTGCAAGGAGGGGACATAGTTGGGGACCACGGGAGCATGCGCAGTGGCCGACATCGCCTGGACCGCGACCGACATGGGCCGCGACGAGGAGGGGGCAGGCGAATGTGGACGCCGAGCGCAGCAGAGGGAGGTGAAGGAGCAGGGACGTGGGGGACGAGGCTAGGGAGTATTTGGAACTATTTCTACTGACGGCGCGATCCAAAACGCAATTGGATTCGGCAAAATTCGGCAAAAGCGCTGGAAGCGATGATGACGGACAACGCTTCCATCTCACCATCGGCGCGCAAACATTCGTGTAGGCAGACATACAAATCCCATGGAGAAAGACAACAACGTCGCTGACCGACATTAGCTACTTGCCCTCAGACTGGTAATTCTTGCCAGCTACGAAGAATACTTATTTTTATGTAGATAAGAACTTAAATCGATCCCGAAGCGGACGAAGTCATTGCTTGCATCATAGTGTGCCTTCCGTAATAAGGTTCGACGATTTACGTACCTCGGTGCATCTCCCGTGTCTCCATCCACTGATGATTGCATGATCGCCGGCCCTCGTGCATGTTTTTGCCCGTTACCGATGTCATTTCCATTTTTTTATTCCAGCCAAATTCCCTCCTTGTTCTTCTCTCAGATTTCTACGGCCGCCTTTGCAGCAAGTCCGTCTTTATGTCTCGCATCACTAAATTGGAAATAGGCACCTTTACCAATTGTAAATGTCAGCGTCTATGAATTATATTCACCCTTGCGGCGACCTGGCTTAATCCTGATACATGCGGCAAGAGCGTGCCCTCTATGCCCTTCGCGGAAATCTACATGAACCGAAATGAGCGTCTTTTGTGCCAGGTACGCTGTTAGAGCTGCCAAAGCGACAGTGACGATCGGACATCTCTGCGAAGTACCCGAATGGTCTATTCAGACGGTACGCACGATTGACTTTCTGCGCGGACCAAAACGTAAGTTGTAGTAGACACACTCTGAGTCTATAAAAAGCTCACGGAGCGCTAAGTTGCTCACTAATCTGCAACGACATCAGCGGCGACGGGATCGGTGGGAACCGTTTCAGGTTTGTCCGCCAAACAATATATGTTTTCGACAAATGCCTTTCGAAAAATATAGTGGAGCATCCAATGCGCTCGACGTGTCGGCAAACAGGCCAAGAAGCTAGTGTTGGCAGTGTGTTTACACAGCCCACCGCAGATAACCCAAACTAGTTATAATTCAAAGGATGAACGTCATAGACTGAATACAATTCAATTTCGGAATGGAACTCTCTTTGAATCACAAGCAAAGAAAGTATCAAATTGCTATGGCTCAGTATATATTTGTAGATAGAGTGGTGAAAAGAAATTTATTTCGGGCACGTTAACTTCGTTAAGTTAAGGAAGGAAATTGCTTATGTAATAACAATATTGCGTAATGAACTGCTTACACAAGGACGAGTGCGCCTCAATCAATGGCAATGGAATCACACATTATCACAAACGACGATGTCAAATGTGAGTAATTCTGTTCAAAATTGCAGATAATTCCTAAGCACTTGTATTTTAGCACCTTGAAAGAGATATTTTCGGTGGCTCTGATTCTGAGCTCTCCGAAGAAGAAGGTACGCCTTCAATATGTGTTGTTTCTCGAGTGGTATAACTAAAGAAACTTCAGAGCTTCAGGAAGAGCGTCTCGAAAGGCGCCGCCCTTCATTGCCTCCAGCGACCGTAGAAGGAGATGAGTCCTCAGGTGATTCCGCGGATGACTACGTCCAGGAGAAACGTGTAAAGAAGAAAAAGGTCAGGAGACATGAAGACGACGTCGTCCGTCCAGCGCGAAGGAAGCGAAAGAGGAGGCAACCAACCGCTGAGAAGCAGAAAGAAGACGAGGATGAGAATCTTACTCCAGAGCAGAGTACGCTTCATAGTCATGGAACATGTGTGCCTGCCAGCAAGTACTGACTTGCGCGTTTCAATAGGGCAGAAACGACAGTTGCAGGAGCAAATTGACGCAATTGTCAAACCGAAAAAGGCGAATCGGCCGAAAAAACGGAAGAAGGATGCCGATGAAGAGATGCTTGACCGCTTTGCGGACGAAGAAGTCTCCCAACTGCGGGATGACATGCTTCGCGCTGCGGCGGAGGACGACGAAGCGAACCGAGAGAAACTTCCAGCTACATCCAAATTGAAACTCCTTCCACGCGTCAAGGAAGTTTTACAAAAGTAGGCTGCTGTGGCTCTTTCCTCTTCTATTTAGCTCATGCTTACATTCTACCTGCCAGATCTTCTCTTACTCAGTCCATCATGGACAACAACCTGCTTGAAGGTGTTCGGCGATGGCTCGAACCCTTGCCGGACCGCTCTCTTCCCGCACTCAACATTCAGACGTTCTTTTTCGAGCAACTCACGAAGATGGACATCGACACCAATTCGCTCAAGGAGTCTGGCTTGGGACGTGTCGTGCTCTTCTATACGAAGTGCAAGCGTGTGACTACGCCAATTGCTCGCATGGCGAATGAACTGGTTTCTGCATGGTCGCGTCCGATCATCAAGCGCAGTTCTTCGTACCGCGATCGACTCATTCCAGTAGCGCAACTCTCAGAAGTTGCAGGAGTGCGGAACGTGCCTCAGCCTGCTCGGCTCAACGCCATCCTTGCAAGGATGCGCGAAGAGGACAAGTCCCGTCTCAAGAAGAATGCAGTCCAAATCCCGACGGCTCAGCTTGGTACCTATAGTGTTGCGCCTCGTGACAGCTTGAGCACGCAAAAGTCCAGCGCGAGTATTGTTAATGATATTGAACGGAGAAGGAGGGCAGCAGAGCGGATGAGAGCTATTATGCGGAAGGGGTCTTCAAAGAACTAGACGGTTTCGCATTGTATTATATTGAGCTTGTGACCCTGTATTCCGCTTGCCACGTCTCTGAAATACACGTTTATGACAATGAGGTTGTCGAATGAATGAATTAAAGAAGTAGCGCGAAATCTCAAAATCACGTGCCTTAAATCTGGTTACGCGTCGCGTCCACACGCTTGCGTCAGCTTTCGACACTTGGTCTTCGTCCTCGACTTCCACCACATCCTCTGTGTAGCTTTTGACCTCGTATTCATACTTGGCAGGGGACAACAAACCAATTAGCGCAAAATGGTATGTCGGATTCTTAATGCATCTGAATGAGAGTAGGAGCTGACAAAAGGACCACCGATACTACAGGGTAATACACATTCCGGAGTACCCGGACAGGGAGCAGGTCAGGGCGATAGAGACAAAGACAAGTCAAAAGACCAGAAGAAGAAATGGGAACCTCCAGTTCCGACTCGAGTTGGGAAGAAGAAGAAGAGGAGGGGACCGGACGCGGCGACGAAATTGCCTCCTGTGGTGCCAACTACACGCTGTCGACTGAAGCTTCTCAAGATGGAGCGTATAAAAGATTATCTGCTACTTGAGGAGGAATTCATCCAGAATCAGGAACGCTTACGACCTGAATCTGCGCGTGAAGAGAAGAATGAGGAGGATAGGACGAAGGTAGATGACCTTCGTGGAAGTCCTATGGCGGTTGGCACACTTGAGGAGATTATTGACGACGACCATGCGATTATCTCGACGTCATCTGGTCCTGAGTTCTACGTTTCGATCATGAGCTTCGTGGATAAAGATGCTCTTGAACCCGGTTGCTCCGTTTTGCTTCACCACAAGAACCAGGCTGTGGTTGGTGTGTTAGAGGACGATACCGATCCAATGGTCAGCGTCATGAAGCTCGATAAAGCTCCAACGGAGAGTTATGCGGATGTCGGTGGCTTAGACCAGCAGATTCAAGAGATAAAAGTAAGCACATTTACCCATCCGCCACAGCTCATGGATACTTATGCGGGTTGGATTATAGGAATCTGTAGAACTCCCGCTTACTCATCCAGAGCTGTACGAGGAGATGGGTATCAAGCCTCCCAAGGGTGTAATCCTCTATGGTGTACCTGGGACGGGCAAGACTCTTCTTGCAAAGGCTGTCGCAAACCAGACATCCGCAACATTCTTACGAGTAGTCGGTTCTGAGCTCATCCAGAAATACCTCGGGGACGGTCCGAAACTCGTACGGGAGCTTTTCCGCGTTGCTGAGGAGCATGCACCAAGTATCGTCTTTATTGACGAGATTGACGCCATCGGGACGAAACGGTGGGTTACCCAACTTGGCCCGTAAGTATAACGCGGTCACTGACTGTTTTTACATTGCATTTTTAGTTACGAATCGACTTCCGGTGGCGAGCGTGAAATCCAGCGAACGATGTTGGAGTTGCTTAATCAACTTGACGGGTTCGACACACGCGGCGACGTCAAAGTCATCATGGCCACCAACAAAATATCCTCCCTTGATCCTGCCCTCATCCGTCCGGGTCGTATAGATAGGAAAATTGAGTTCCCCTTACCAGACGTAAAGACGAAACGACACATCTTTAGGTATGTGTTTCCCTTTTTACTTAAGCAAAGTAACGACTTTTCTCTAATTGACCGTCCTTGCTTAGACTACACACTTCGCGAATGAGCCTGAATGAAGATGTCGACCTAGAAGAATTCATTATGGCGAAAGATGACTTGTCGGGTGCGGATATCAAGGCCGTGTGTACTGAAGCTGGTTTACTTGCATTGCGGGAACGACGCATGCGGGTGACGAAGGCAGATTTCACAACTGCGCGTGAGAGGGTACGTATCGTTGTCTGATATTGCTTCCGTCTTTAACCGTGACCTAACGCACGTATCCATATAAACTATATAGGTTCTCTACAGAAAGAACGAGGGAGCACCGGAAGGCCTTTATCTGTAGTTTCCGCCACATGTATATTTCTGCACTGCTCCGTTTCTTTAATTGCACCAACTTTTTCTAAACTTGTGAAGTAAAAGTATCAATTAGGCGGCCAAGTGGTGAGGCAACACCTCTGTGAGGACTGGAACTTCACGTCCACATGTACGATACACTCACGTCTAAGACAGTGGGAATGTCTGCGATCGAACTGACTGTTTATAGCTATAATGACACAAGAATGTTTTACCAACTATCTAAGATCTGTACTGTCAGTAAATCTTATGTAGTTTCTTATAGCCGTACTAATGCATACTCCGATCTACATCAGACGAAGCCATAAACGCTAGGATGCTCACGCAACAAGAATGTATAGGATTCATGATGACACAATTAAGGATCGGGTTTTTAGTCAAATAGAATAATCTGGCCACGGTTATTGTCCAAGGTTCTGGGATGAGGAAAGCTTCAAAGCTGATCATAGGGTGTTTACTCTATATCCATGTATGCCTGTTTCCTCAGTCCCGTGAGTATCGCACTTGCCTAAGGTACTGTCCTACCATTGTACCAAAGAGGGACGTATGTTGTCTGTCTTGTGCGCTTTTGGACTCCCTCTGATCACACAACCCTCTGTGAATCAAAACACTTGTAAAGGCTATTGTCTCTTGGGCAAAATGAAATGAGTTTTTGCAATTACGTTCTATTCATAGACACCTTCTCAAATTGAGAAAGTAGATCCGTCGTACATATTTACATGCATTCACTTCCATTCATTCTAAGCGTGTATATTCGCATTCGGGCGTGTAGTCTATTCAATTACTTCGATACTCATGCTTCCATATCGTCGGTGTCTATTCATCGCGTCTAGCAACTTTTGGCACGAGAGTCCAACAAATGAACTGTCCAGCGAGAAGAGCGACAATAGCCGGTTGGACCGTCCATATTCCCTTTTTGGTGCTGATCACACCTACGGGATACAAGACAACAGTATGAGCATCATTCAATTCCAGAGGAGAGATTTAGCAGTGTGATAAATGAGTCTGTCCGACTCGCCTATTATGAACGGAAAGATCGCACTTCCACTTTGACCTACACTCGAGATCATAGTCATAGCGGATGTATGCATCCTACGTGGGAGGAGTTTTGCCGCTGTGTGGATGGCAGCTGTGTAGAAGGTCGAGATGGCGAATCCGATAAACGCAGTTGCCAAAGCGGTCTTAAAAGAAAACGTTCAAGATACGTATTGTACTCGTTACAGAGAAATGAAACTATGCATACTGCACCGAAGCTCTTTACCGCCCAAGAAATAGCTTGTAGACCTCCGGCGAGTATGATGTACATAAGGACTACACGGCGTTCTCCGACGAGAAGGTTTATGAAGGGCAGGCAGACTCTTCCTATGGCGATACCTGCGTAAAGCATATATGAAGAAGATTGAGTTGTCAAGTGAGTAGGAAGAATGGAGGATACCGACCGAGATAGAAGCCAGAGGCAACCCAAGCTGCTCCTCCCGCACTTCCGTGGCGGACGACTTCCATGTAGGAAACGATCCATCCACCACTGTTATTCGCGTTATTTCGGTCAATCCATTTTGTAGGACTGTGTAGGACTGTAAGCAGTGTACTCACATAGATTCTTCAGCACTAAAAATCGAAACCACATTAGATCTCCTTGCAAGCCGAACTAACTATAGCTTACCCGATGTAAAACAGCAAGAATATCGCAATGATCCAAACCTCTATCCTAGACGCTACCTCCTTCAAAGTCACATCTCTCGGCGGCGTACTATGTCCTGCGATAATAATGGGCTCGTTCGGTATTCTGTCATACCTTGCCGACCCATGAACGAAAGAAAAATACGAGATAATGATGGATGGTACAATCAGTCCAAGACATGTTAGGTAGAAAAGGTTAATCTTCAACGAGGCGGTGTCAGATATACTTCTGGATGTACAAGTGAGGATACTAACTCTTATGTCACGGGAAATGAAGATAGAGGCGATTAATGGGCTGGTAAAGGCACCGAACCCTGCATATATGGAGATTAACTTCATTAGATACTATGAATGCTATAAGACGAACCATAAACTCCGTGAAGGACGCCCATACGGAGCATTGGGTTGGTTAGAGTAGCGAAGTACGAGTTGGCCAATCCGAGCTATGACAAGCATGCCAGTATAACCCTTGAACGCAATAAAATGGATAGATAATCAAGGCCGCTTACTTGTGTTGAGAATCCGGTGCCAACGATAACGAACGCGAAACACATCAAAGGAAAAGAGACAAGTTGGGAACAGTTGATAATAATCTACAGTAAGCCATGAGCACGCAAACCATTGAACAATCCAGGAGTTACGGACGCCTATCATCATTGCGATACCAGCTCCCGTAAAGACTCTTCCAAACCCCCATCTTAAAAAGAAGTCAGAACGGAGCTCCTTCTACAAAGACAAGGCAGGGCTTCCCGCACCTTTTAACTGCTTTGCCCGATCCGAAGGCGGAGAAGAAGTATCCGATACAGAAACCGACGAATAGGAGCGCAGCTGAAGAATAAGTAAGATGGTATACGCTTTCAATCGACGGGAGGAGTGTCCCTGTAACACCGCAACTGTGGTACGCGTGGAGAACTCTATTTCACATTTATCTGGCACAGATCTGCTTCTGAGAACCTACTTGTAACCCGAAATGTAAAGCGCCAAATAACAAGCTAGTTGTCGCAGGATTTGCGTCCGCCTCGACACAGGTTGCTCACGGTCGACCATTTGAAGCATCTCCAGAGGCCCTCGTGTATCTACGAACGGAGGATTTTGCAACGAAGGGTCGACCGGCTCCGAAACAGCATCCTTCATGGGGATAACCTCAGGAGAGGTAATTTCAAGCGGATGCTCTGGTAGGACGGTAGTTGTTTGAGAAACAACAGCAGACATTGACAACTAGGAGTAAAAGAGGCAGTAGAAAGGGGGGCTGAAGAACCCTAGCCCAGATGTTATACCCAAGTTGACGATTTATAAGGTGCTGCAACACACGTAACATCGATTCTAACGTTTTCGGAGCCCGCACCGTTGGTATACCTAGGTTTAATACTATGGTCCGTCCGGATCCGGGATAAGATGTCGATCGGAGGTCTAGCCAATACCCTGACGATAGATCTAACATAGTCTATTTTCGTCAAATTAGCGCACGAAAGGTACACATCAGATATCGTTGCCAATTTCGAAGTCGCGATGGCGAGTTGCATGGCAGTCGTTGTAGTTGCATTGTCCGTGAGCCGTGAAAAGTGTACGGCCACACCTCGCACTCTATTCCTAACAATACTCGCCGATTACTTATTCCTTCGCAACGTTTGGTTCCGAAATCTTATCGCCGTTTCACGGAGATCTCGCAGATCCGAGAGCCGAGTCAGGGTGAGCCTAGAACCCTTCAGCAGGTGTCTCTATTACAACTTCGTCAAGTACAAAGAGCGTTCGGCACGAGTCAGTGGCTTACTTAGACGTCACTTGAGGATAAGACGAGAAGATGCGGATATAATGACTTCACGCGTCGATGCTTGGGATTTCTGACTGAACCGGATTGATTTGTAGCCTGTTATCAAGCAAGAGAATCCTAACGCTAGAAGGGGAAAGCGGAGAAACTATGCATGAGGGAAGGGATGCTTCGATTCAGGCGAAGTCCCCCCAATACTCGGAAAGGTATGTCTTCGCCCGGAATATCGATCCATTATCCACGCGTACGAATCAAAAACATTCCTGCACATTAACAGCGTAAAACTTCCGATATCAATGCGCTTCTAAAGGACATCTAGAAATTAAAGTTTCAACGTTAAGGCTTGCCTTTAGTGACGGCTCCCAGCAAACGAGATGGGGGTTGTTATTGCACAATCACAAGCCCGGCAAGCTCCTGAGTACCACCGATAAAGCACACGACCAGAAAAGAACCGAAGATCCATGAGGTCGGAGATGCGAGATTCTCAGAACTCACAGGGAGTCTGCATAATCATACCGAGCCGACAAGGATGGGAAAGGGGTGCAGAGTGAATGCTTAAGCCAAAACATCTATGGCCGACAGGCGTTCTCAGGGAATAGCGATCGTGATATCTTTATCCGGTATCTGACTAATTTTGAGAAACGACAGCGACGAGCCCGCGATCGTACCTTTGACCGGGGAGTACGATCAACGCTTGAGTTACGTCGGATGTCGTATTCACGGAATCGGCGTGCAGTAATGCAGTCCGGAGCTGACGTTACGCGACTGATTCGGAGGACCTTAATTGTTGTACTAATGAACTCCGGCTCAATTCTTCTCTCGAGTCCGCATCTCATCTTTTAGTAACTGAATAGATAGGAGCTTCGATTCGCTCCACAGTGCTGGCACCCTCATTGAGAGTCCCACAGCTAAACACTCCTCACTAATGAGCAAGCCAAATTGAGGCATGGAGGCGGTGTTATAAGCGTGTCCTTTAAGGCCGGAGGCAGAAGACTCCTGGAACACCGTGGAAAAAGGCTTTAGGAGTTTGCAATTGTCCCGTAGAGTATAAGTAGGGTCCCTCTTTCTCGAGAAGGGCATTCAAATTACCCACTACAGTCCGCCGACATGCTTGCACACTACGTTGTTTTCCTCGCCTCTTTCGCCCTTGCACTTGCTGCTCCAGCACCCGTCAAAGTTGCAGTCCCGGATGGTGAGCGGCTAGCACTACATTCTTTTGTGAAGTCAATCCATACTGAAGCCGTTGGAAGCAATCCATGGACCACCACTGGGCCAGACCTTTAAGCTGAGAGATGGTGAGCAAAAAGATGGGCGTTCATTTCATAAACGTAGTTGATTGATTCCAGGAACAGAAGTCGTCGCGCACCAAGAGACATCCCAGACGTCTGGTGGTAAGACGTCCGCTTTTTGACCGTTTGACAATGACACTTAGCTTGCCATTTAGGGATCGACACTCCTAAAGAAGACATTGTCGGTGCACCGCTAGGTGAAACTTTCCGTGCACGCTGAAGTATGTGTGTACCGCCGATTCATGCAATAAATGAGATCACTAACGTCAGACCATAGATGAGTATTGCACTAGTCGACCTAGCCGATGCTTGGGTGAAGCATGGATACTGCGTAGAGGGTCTTCCTGTTTTCCTTCTTCATGTCTCTGGCACCTTCGCTGTGATGATCTCGTTGGACAGTACTGGAGGCTTGTGTGCACATTGCATGTTCGGTACTACATGGAGTTGCATTTCATGATCTGATGAATTTCGAATGAATTAGCGCCAAATTTAACAATAGACTAAAGGAACGCACAATTTTTCGACTATTTCCGTATTCAAATCGGGTTCTGTCCCTTTAGACGCTCATTTGTGTCAATAACAGAGTTTCAAATGTGTCGTCGCTTTTGGGCATGCTTGTTCCCAGTGCACCGATACCTGCTAGAAGATCATCATCGTTGTCTGGAATGACCCACTCCAGGGATTCCGGACGTCTGTATCCCACAAAAACAAAGCTTTCTTCACCAAAAATATGCCAGTCCTGTTCCTCTAGGGCAGGACCTTCCGTGCCGGCCGGGTGCTCTTCTGAAGTACAATCCACTCCGAGGCGGGCAAGTACGGGAGCGAATGTAAACCACAGGCCGAACGCAGACCAAAAAGCGCACTCCTTGACCAGGCTCCGGATCTTGTACGAAATTATGAGTTCAGCTGATTGGCCAGGAAGTTCGAATGGAGGAGATGTGAGTTGCAAGAGTGTTCTGAGTAACGGAGCGAGCAGATGAGGAAAGTAGACCTAATCAGGTTAACTCTGCTCAGTCGGTGAAACTGAGCGAGCTCACGAGGTCGCTGCACACTACATGTGTTAGACGTCTTGGCACACTAGTTGAGCACTCTCCGTTAGCTAGTAGCGCAGAAAGTCGGGAGCCCTCCGCAGCAGCTCCCCACGGAAGCGGGAGTATCTTGACGGGGACGAGTACTTTACCCAAGGGGTGTGAAGTCATCCACCTTTGCCTCTCGTCATGCAGGGATTCTTCGAGTAGAATACACACGTCAGGAAGATCGGTCAGCACGAGTAGATCCTTCGCTCTGCTTAATTCTGATAGGTGCTCGGCAAGCTTGAGACCGACGTAACCCGTTCCAGAGCCCAGTTCGACGACGGTCAGCTCACGGTCAGACTCCCTCTGAATCATTGAACATGGTGGGTCGAACTGCCAGACTGGAGACGCAGATAATTCGAAATAACGTATCATCAGCTGAGCAGCTTCCCTAGCAAGGTCGTTGTGAGCTTGTGAAGATGTCGACGACACGATGTGTCCAATCACCAGATTCTCCCAGCGATTCCAAATCGCTGTATCGCATGCTTCTGTGCTTCTGCATTGAACGGACCGTTCTCATCGCGTTCCGACACAAGGGGTCTGATATCGAGGCCATGAGGAAAATTAGGGTGTGAGACTGCCATAGACATGAAGGTCGGAGATAAAAAGAAAGGAAAAGAAAACAATAATATAACAATGAAATAAACAGCGCGTCATGATCAGTCAACGGCTATCACATGGCTTTTGCCTCGGCCATGCACGGTGATTCACTTGCCCGACTACAGTAGGTCAGTTCATCTTTCTTCAGACCACATCCATCGTGGACAATAATGAGCGCGTCAAAGCCGCAAGAGCAGTTAACCCCGTTCGGTTATGCGTTAGCGGGAGCCTTGGGCGGTGTGTTCAGCAATGCGTACGTGCTAAAGCCATTACAGTAATATTGCATCATCTATCAGCTAACACATTTTATTTCTTTCAGTGTGGTGTATCCTTTAGATACGTGCGTAATATATCTCGTGCTACATACAATATCAACGGGATTCTGAGAAGAATTTAGAGTGAAGACACGTATTCAAGCGGGCTCTACCGTATCAACAAAGGGCAAGAAACACGATGTCTCAATCATCTCGCTCCTTCTGCGCATATTGCGTGAAGAGGGCGTTTCAGCTTTCTACAATGGCTTTGGAGCGAGCATGCTAAATACATTCTCAACGCGTGAGTCCAGAAATGTGAACTGGATAAGCTTAGTGAAATACTCACGTACGCAAAAGAATACGCATATTTCCTCTTCTATTCATTCGTTAGAGGATCATATCTCAAAAGGTTGAGTAGCAGGTTACCGAAGGGGTCGAAGGTCCCTACCATTTCTACCGCGATGGAACTATTGCTGGGAGCCGTTGCCGGTGCTCTTGCTCAAATATTCACAATCCCTGTCTCCGTTATTGCGACAAGACAGCAAATTGGTCGTCTCATGCAACCAAACGACGGACCAGCCCCTTCGTCTCCGTCCAAAGTGTCTCCGTCCAAGCCCTCATACAGTGAAGTGGCTGATCCTCGTTCGTCTGCTTCTGCGCCCCCTGATTCGACTTTCGACAACTCGTTCTTGACGGTCGGAAAAGAGATTATACGAACAGACGGTGTGACTGGCCTATGGCTCGGACTTAAACCTTCGCTAGTTCTTACTGTCAACCCTGCGATTACCTATGGTGTATTCGAGCGGATTAAAAGTCTAATGCTCGTAGCTAAGGAGAAGGCGGGCGGTCAACCCAGGTTAACGCCTTGGCAGAACTTCTTTGTCGGCGCTTTGAGCAAAACACTTGCGACGGTAGTAAGTCCCATAATCCTTTAATCTACGACTTGTAATTCAGAAATTAACTTCTTGTCCAAAGGTAACCTATCCATATATAATGGCTAAAGTAAAGATTCAAGCTGGGACACAAAACGCGGACGCGGAGCTTCCCTCACCAGGTTCTGCTTTCGCCAAAAAGCCTAAGAATGATGGTGCCATTACTCTCTTGACACGCATTGTGAAGGAGCGAGGATTGATTGGCTGGTATCAGGTATAATCATCCACTTCCTCTTTCTGGACGAGACTTTGTTTTCTGAGTTCATCGTTATTAGGGAATGAGCGCGCAGATAATCAAAGCCGTGCTCTCGCAGGCTTTGCTTTTCATGTCGAAGGACCAGTTTGAGCAGTATGCTCTTATGATTTTGATTGCACAGAGAAAATTCGCAAGTTCATAGATATTATGAGTTTATGAATGCTTTAGAACATGTACCACATACACGATAGCGATAGATTAGTGACATTCAACATGTCTTGGAACAGTTCTTGTGCATGTTTTGGGATTTTCCTGGCATACATTGCCGCCAAATACAATTAAAGTTCAATGATTGCTAGTTCTGTCTGCTCCATTATTTGATCATTTTGAATCCGTTGCTTGACTGTGGACTTGAAAAAAGTCGCGTGTCACGACGGGTTGAGCGCGTCTCAACCCTAGGCCTATCTCCCAATCCTACCAGATACTCCTACTAGTACTAAGGCTACTAACCCTCTGTCTCATCCCTCTTCTTTCTTCGTAACCTCACTCAAATAAATAAATATACAACATGACGGACCTTCTAGACTCGATGTTAGATCTTATGCGTCGGCTTCCACCAACGAACGTCGAAGAGAACGTCGCAGCACTCGTCAATATCTGTCCAGAATACGCTGATGACCTCCTAGGCTCCGTTGACCAGCCTTTACGCCTTATGATCGATCGAGCCACTGGGAGAGAGTATCTTGCGTGTGATTATAATCGCGATGGGGAGAGTTATCGGTGTGTGATCTGATTTTCGGTTGAGAAGGAGCAGTTGACTGAATAAATGATGATTTGTGTATGCTATATGCTATGCTGCGTTGTGCCTTCGCTGATGCAACTGCATATTCATTGGATGTGGCTTATTGGTTTGAAGATCACCTTGGTCAAACGAGTACGACCCGCCTTTAGACGATGGCACGACGCCGTCTCCGCGACTGCGGAAGCTAGAGATCGCAGCGAACGAAGCGTTTGACACTTATCGTGAAATGTTCGTTTCTTGCTATCCTTTAGCTCATATGTCTTCGTAAATAATTAATCTTTCATTATCCGCTGAGTCTAGGTACTTTGAAGGTGGTGTGTCCTCTGTCTACCTGTGGGATCTTGACGACGGTGGGTTCGCCGGTGTCGTCGTATTAAAGAAAGGTTCGTCATATCAAACTCAAATTCAATCTAACTTCATGGCTTGTATTCGTCTCTATCCCATCGCGAAGCATATATCCACTTTCCTGCATTCAGCCTCAAACATGCAAACCAAGTCATCACTAAATCTTTTTTTTACTTTACTCTTCTAGTCCTCCAACCAAGCTCTCCCTCTGCACCCTCCGGTGCATGGGACTCGATCCACGTCTTCGAAGCCTCCGAACGCGGACGAAACGCACATTATAAACTCACCAGCACTATCATGCTTCATCTCGTTTCGCAGAGTCATTCCAATTCCAATTCGGATGAGAATGGAAACGGGAATGGGAAGGATAGTTCTAGTGAAGGCACGATCACGTTGAGCGGGAGTATGACGAGGCAGGTGAGTTTGACCTGTCAATGATTCAAATCATATCACTGTTTTCTATCTCTATACCTTTCCCTTTCGTCCATCCATTCCCCCAGCAATTATGATATAATGCAACTGTCTATAGCTGACACTACCATTTTGCATACGTTTGATTTAGATCGAGCAAGACCACCCCCTAACCGATGCATCTTCACACATCTCCAACACGGGTCGGATGGTGGAGGACCAAGAGCTCAAAATGCGGAACCTTCTGCAGGACGTGTATTTTGGAAAGATGCGAGACGTGGTGGCGGAGTTGAGGAGTGTAGAGAGCTTAGAGAAGGCAAGGAGGCAGAGGGAATTGCAGAAGGAGCTTGTGGGGCTGATGGGGAAGAATAAGTAAGTAGTTTGAAGGGGAAGGAGTGAAACGGAAGGAAGACGTGGGTGACGGACGAAAGAGGTAGGCGTAAGTGGGGTTTTGTCGGAATGTAAGAATCTACTTACTAAACGGACAATACTTAGATCCACACTACAGTACAGCACAGGGATGAAATGTATCAAAGGTGTATGTGTATTACCGAGAAGATTTCTTCTTCCCCCTTTCTTCTAGATTACTCATCCGACTCATCCGAATTTCCCGGCTCAATGCACCAACTTGAAGCACAAGCACACCTTTGAACCATTCACTTCGGAAGTTGCGCAGACACTTGATCCTCCAGTGTCGATGCAGCTGTCAAATTTGGTACAATGATGAGCTTATGCCTACATTACAGACCCAAATTTTGATAGTAATCACAAGAGTCTCCAATCCCCCTTATTTCTTTCCTTGTTCCAAATGGCCTATGCCATCGTACTTGTAAACCTCACGTTGCCATGCGGAACACAAGATGACTCTTCACAGAGGATTGTTGAAGCAGCCGATACAGGATTTGCTCTGAAGTTCATTGTCTCCGTCTGATATGAAACTTCTGTAGTGACTCGTCCATAATCAAATTTTCAACTTTCCGGATTTGCAAGAGAAGCCGATTGCTTAGAACACAAGAAAGAACCTCTTGTGGACTAGAATTTAAGATTCAGTATCAATATTATAATCCACAATCACATAACTGTACAATACAAGAATGGTACTCAAGAGGTCCTGTTTTGTAGTAAGTTCAGTACAGAATGAGAGGACAGTAAGTCCTATATTGTACCTGTTTGTAGAGTATCAGCACCATGTTCACCAAAGACATGCCTGTAATTATTACATTAATTAGTTGATTCAAAATCAAATAAGTGTTCCCAATCATAGGTTCACAGATGACAAATAAGAAGTACATTGCTCCTGTGAGTATATGATCAGAATCAGTTACATACGGTCGGCGTGTATGTAACCGTAATTTTAGCAAATGAAACCCGGCATCACAGTACTTGTGTTTGTGGCTCCACTTATGGCTCTACATCATTAAATACATAAAACCGACAGCATGGTATAGATTTGATGGATTCTATGAAACCATGACACTGCCGTAATTTATTTCAATCTTGCCTCGTTCAAAGTAGTAATCTAAAAAAACTGACAAAACTTTAAATCTTACACAGTATACAAACTTCTTCAATTCTTTGTTCAATGTACATCTGAACAAATGATAACAGAGATCAATACCAAACAATCAACTAATGTGACTGATCAACTAGTGGACCATGTGGATTTATGATTTCAAGAAATAGAGATGACAGTAGACTTGCCACCTGGATTCTTATAGTACATGGCTTTATCTCTTTGGAGAACTTTAGTTTGTTTGGTTTGCACGTACGTATAAGCATCTAGATTAGTTTAGTGTAATCTAGTGTAGTTCATTCGATGCTTCTAATTTTTATTTTAACAAGATGTCAGAAAGAGACAGCCAGCCAGCCATAACACAGCATCATCAACCAAAAACACTGTGATTGGGCGTTTGGAGAGGTGAATCTCGACGATCCCTTCTTGGCTCTTGTCATTGAAATCCGTGATGTTTGGTATGATAGACGCTGTGGGCGGAGTAAGAAAACAAGTCTCCAGTTCTGTCATTCACGTCTTTGTGTCAGTCTGCCTGAATTGGCCCTTTCTGTCCTGTCCTGTGCTCCTCCTATGTGAGACGATAACAATTACTTGTGAACCCGATTTGTTTATTTTAACAGCGTTGCGTCAGCAATGGGGTTTGCGTGGATAGTTACCTATTGATTAGTTAGGATATCCAGTAGCCGATATCCGGGAGACAAAACGTCAGATGCATAGACCATACGATACGATCAAAGGAAGGAACGTACATCGTTCAAGAGGACGTCTTTAATTGGCCGGTATTTCCCGTCAACTTGTTCGCGCTCGATAGCGTCGAGCGTCGAGTCTGCTCCGTCAATCACTCTGTTATGAAGTGGATCGTCGTCGCGAGCGAACGATAAGCACATCGGTCAATAACGAACAAACAATCAGGTGTAAGTATGAACGACAGATCGCGGTAAGTAAGTTAGAATGGAAAGGACAGGAGGAAAGAAAGACGACACACTTTCCGAAGATGGTATACTTCCCATCAAGATGAGATTGCTTTGTATAGGTGATGAAGAATTGTGACTTGTTGGTGTCCGGCCCCGAGTTGGCCATCGCGACGATACCGCGTGCGTTAAACTATACAGGACGAGAAGGTAAGGCACTGTTAGTAACATCGTAACAGCGTTGTTGTTCATCTGCATGGGTAATCGTAATGGGGGCAACGATCGACTGCGGTAAGATGGCGATGAGAGAAGGCGCGGTGGGACTGTGGTTGAGGTGATGCGTACTGGAATTGTTGGGGGCGAGCATCGGACGGTTCTTACATCCGAAACGGACGATCAATGATAGACACAGCACAGCGGAACACCGCGCACCACAACGTATGCACCATGCAGCGTGGCTCGATGCCGGCGATACCGAGCAGCAACGGTGCACCGCAACGGCATCATCAGCCAAACGAGAAGAAGCAGATAGCAAATACAGGCAAGAAGCTTGTTCCGAATAGCTAGCTAGCTGTACATACACAAAGAGAGAGACGGGGCTTGCCTTGAGAGTCGCTTTGATCTCATCGGGAAATGGTTTTCCCCAGATGCTCTGACCGCCCTTGCCTGTTCCGGAGGGATCGCCCGTCTGGACCATGAATCCGGCAATGTTGCGGTGAAACTTGACGCCGTTGTAGGTGCCTGCGGCACAGTGAGCGAGAAAGTTTTCTGCAGCTTTCGGAGTTGCTTCGCAGAACACTTCGATCTAAGCGGGGCAATGGGAGAGGTCTCGTGAGTGAGAGGCACGAATGTTTCACTAGCACTAGTGAAAATTGCGAACCTTGAGATCACCGAGAGTTGTATGCAGTGTGACAGACTAGGGAGGGTCCAAATGAATGAGCTGTGCCGCAGACGAGAGCAGGAAGGGAAAAGACGGACCATGTCTTGTGATGATGACGGGCGGAGACGAAGAGGAAAAAGGGATGGTAAGGGACAGCGAGATTAGAGCAATTAGACGAGGATCGACACTGCGAGTGATAACCCTGACTCCGTAGCGGCTGAACAAATCCAATCTAGCCGACGCGGCCTTGTCCATCCCGAACAAACTCGATGGGCGGGGAAGCCGCCTGTGCATATAACTTCGGCGGAAAATGAAACGAGAAATGAATTGTATTTTACTGTGACCGGTGCTGACGCGAGAAAGGCTCAGCTCACTGCGCTACCCCATCACTTCCGGAACACCACCTGCCATCATATCACCAATCTCTCAGTCTCCTCTTATTCTCCCCTTCCCTCGCTCCTCTGCACCCGACCACCACCACCTCTCTCTCTCTCTTTTTCGAACTCGAGCTAGCAGCCAGCCATGATACGCACACAGACACGCACATCCAGCATCTACTCTGCCGATGACCCGCTCGCACTTGCCCTCAAGCCTCCGCCGCTTGAAACAGACCATGAACGCGAGTTGCGCATCGCAGCAGAGCACGAAGCAAAGCGCATCTCAGACCGCATCGATGAAGAGCTCCGTCAAGAGCGCGAGGCAAAGCGACGCGCCAATATGCAGGTCAAGGTATGCATGCCCCCCTCTATCCCTCCTCTCCTAGTTCGCCGTTTCCCTTTCTCGTCTCCCTTCCTTGCTCGGTGTATGCGCCGCGAACGCTGCTTCTGGTGCGTTGCCACTGCAGTTCTTTCACTAGCGCAAAAGATTTCGGCGCTTTCAGGGCGCCAGATCTAAGTATACCTTTCCGGAAATGCGGGTGCTCTCAGAGTCTAGGTTGCCCCGGCACCTGACACGAAACTTGTTCTCCCAGTCCCCACTTACTGTCAATGTGCATGTCTTACTCATGCCTTGATGTACAATTTACCCCGTTCTGTCGATTTTATCCACGATCTTGCTCGCATCAGGCGTGCTGAAACGTCGCCGCGCAATGACAATTCACACACCAATCAGCTTCCTCGAGTTCTGCTATGCTAAACATTTTTGATCCCGCTGCTTCTCTTCTTGCGGGAATTGACTCCTTTTTTTGTCCACACTCTTTCTAGTTGCTTCTCCTGGGTCAAGCAGAGTCCGGGAAATCAACTCTGCAGAAGCAATTCCAGCTGTTCTATGCGCCCGCATCGCTTGATGAAGAGCGCGCATCATGGCGTGCCGTCGTGTATTTCAACGTCGTCCGGAACATCAAACGCATCCTCCAGGCACTCGAAGCCCTTAATCTCGGATCGCCGCACTCCACCTCCGTCGCACTTCCCAGCACCGCGGAATCCTCGCTTGATGCACAAAACGAAGCTGAAATTGCAGAAAATGACGCGCTTGCCAGTGCCGAAAGCGAAGGAGGACTGTCTGCTCTGGATAATTCGACACGGACAGAGCTGGCGACGCTCAGGCTGCGATTGAGCCCCTTACTTACGGCCGAGGCGAGTCTTGCAGATCGACTGAGTGGTGGCGTGCAGGTCGGTACGCTTGCACGTCGCCGTGGCGGCGGCGTATATGTGCGGTCTGGATGGCAAACGACGATGAGTATCTCTGGCAATAAACGGAGACGCGACGAAGAAGATGTCCAGGAGAACAATCCAAATGCTCCGAATCCGGTTGAGGAAGAGCTTAACAAGATTGCACGTATGCTTTTCGCGTGTCGTGATGACGTGAAGGCCCTATGGGCACACCGCGTCGTACGCACAATCATCGACAGACGCAAGCTTCGATTGCAAGAAAGCGCGGAGCAGTAAGTGTACTTCTCGACCCCCTATTTCTCACGTCTTCGTTGCGAAAAGTGAAAGTGTCAAGTCTGACTGACATTGTGTGCTTCGTCTTTTCGTTGGGTAGTTTCCTCAGTGGGATTGACCGCGTCTCAGCTGCAGACTACACGCCCTCCACGGATGACATTCTACGAGTACGACTACAAACGATGGGCATTGCCTCACACGAGTTCATGGTACAGGTCTCAGGCAAGAGCGTTATCTGGCATCTCTACGACGTTGGTGGCGCTCGTGGCCAGCGACATACATGGGTCCCTTACTTCGATGATGCGAATGCCATCATCTTCCTTGCGCCCGTGAGCGCTTTCGACCAGGTGAGGTCCCCGCTCACTCCCTCTGCCCTTGTATACAAATAAATTAACTGAGGAACCATCTCATTCTCTTATTCTCAGTATCTTGAAGAAGAACCAAAGACGAATCGGATCAACGACTCGTTGCAACTCTTCACCATGATCTGCTCGAACGAGCTACTGAAGAAAGTTCACCTTGTATTGTTCTTGAGTGAGTTATCTCTGTGTCCCCTTTTCCCCCTTCTACATTTTTCCCTTCTTCTACTATTGTTTCTATTTTTGTTTGCGGGTAAGAGCCTGTACTGATCCGGCTACCACGGCATTCAGATAAAACGGACGTCCTGAAACAAAAGCTTGCTGCGGGAGTACACGTCAAACGCTAGTACGTCTCATCTAAAGTTAGTTAGGTTAGAACTGACCGGAGTTATCGGTACCGAACATCCGTTGTCACTATCGTCGCGGCGTTTCAACTTCGACTTCAACTTCCCAACCTATATTATCTTTACTGGACACTGGACACTGTAGTATCCCGTCATATGGCGACCGAGCGAACACGTACGAGGCCGTTATTGATTATTTCAGGACACACTTTTTGCAGGTGCATAGGAAGAATAACGAGGAGCATCGAGTGTTGTATACCCATCAGACTAGTGTTGTGGATACGAGTACGACACAGAGTGTTATTCGGAACGGTGAGCTTCTCTTCATTATTTCCCACTTTTCTTTTTTGGGTTATCTGCTAGCGCCCACCTACCCATCCATCCTTGTTTTACTTTTTGCCTTCTGTACCTTTATTTTTGTGTTGTCTTCCCCGCTCGGGCGCCGTCACTCGCCGCCCTCCGTCTTACCCCGTTAATTTTACTTTGTCTTCCCTCCCCTTCCTGCACCTTTCTTCCATTCTTGTGCTTCACCCTCTCTGCTCCGTCATCGCCTTTATCGCCTTGATAGGTCCCCGTTCGTCTTCCGATGGATCCTATCACTCCATCCTAGCTTCACTGTCGAATAGCAGTAGTCATCCAAACCGGAAAGACTGCTGGCATGTGCATACACGTCCATCTCATTATTCATCTCGTCTCGTCCTTTTTTAAGATCCATTCAAACTTCCCCGTTTCGGATCTTTTGCTAACGATGCCTTTCCTTATACGTATTACAGTGCGTGACTCGATTTTCCGTGGATACCTCCAAGAAGCATCGCTCGTTTGATGTGCTTCTCATACACTCATCTCATTACTCATTGACCTTATTCAACGAGGAGTTGATCATGATTCGGTGATGATGGGTCTGCTTTTGACACTCCCCAATATCAATGGCGTTGACACTGATCGGCCGTACATCTCGGGGTTTACCACGAGGTTCGGATTCGTTGTGTTGACTAGGTCTTCTTGGGCGGGCCTATCGTCGCTGCTGGCATGGCATTCATCAATCTTCATCTTCATCTTGATTCATGATATTAATCTCCATTACTCATTGCACGTATTTCTCCCATGTACCCATCTTTCCATTTCATTTCTGTCTTCCTACTTTCTCTGTCTTGTTCTGTTCGTTCGTTTGTCGCCGCCATGCAGAGGCACTGTTGTATGCAGGTGTTATTGTCGACGTTCATCTTACTTTCTTGGACTCTCATGTCTCACCTCTCATGTTCTCGTCCGGCTCTTCACATATCCATCCATCCATTACCTTATCCACGCACATGCATTAACTCATATCACTTACCGAAATGAATCTCTGGACCCGACTATCTATGTATGCATGTATGCATATATGCACGTATGCTACTGTATGTATTCTTTTCTCTCTTCCTCCCCCAAAACACGTACGTTACTTTTGTCCTTTCTGATTCTCTTCTTCCTCCTCTCCCCTCTTTTCTTTTCTGTTGCCCTTGAATCTATCCTTCTCATGTTTCTTTTCCTTTTCCTTTCCCCTCCCTTTGTGTTGTCTCTGTCTCTGCCTCTGTCTCAAATAGCCCATAGTACACTTTTTGTCTGTGCTTCTTACTCTGTACTTTATTCACACTGGTAGTCTTAACCTAATAATGAGATTGAAATAATGCAACGCGTGGGAACCCCGAGTGGGATTGGACAAACCATATCTGCAACAGTATAATAATTAATATTTGTTATGCGTGCACGTATAATAGTTACTCTACAAAGTATCATGAATATCTGAATTTATTCTACAAGATTCAAAGTACTCAGTCTTTTGCCTGGTAGAGTCTCCCGTCTGCTCTGCTTTGTTATAAAGCATGTTGCATATGTCCCATTGCTGTCCATTAGACGTGGAATTTGTCTATACAACTACGAGTAATAACAATGTACGAAAGTCTTGTGATGCCCATCTCCGTTTGCCCGAGATTGAAGTAACAATAGTTTATCGAAAACAATCTACATATCAATGTACAGAGCGACAACATAGAATGTACAATTCAGCTACCGTAATAATCTATGACTTTGTATAAAATAGTAATATTGGCGACAGTTAGGTTATTAGGATGATCAGGGTAAACAAGACAAGATGACGTCTATGCAACAAGCTGGAAAATATAGCGATTACGTAAAATGTTCATTTCTTTGATGATACCTTTGAAAGCGTAGATTGAGTCGACCCGCCTGTGTGACGTTTCTTTTTCCTCCGTGTATCTTGCTCAAGCTCATAAATTTCTTGTACCCCTTCTCTGTTGACGCGTGTAAGAAAATAGCGTGTATTCCGACAAGATATTGTGTATACTTACCGGAAATATACGATATTGTACTCCACCAACCCTCGCTTGGTCTCCCATACAGTTGTCGGAAGGCGAGCAACAAGGGCGAGTCGAGGCGTGACGGAATGAAACACCAAAGTGTCATGAGGAGTCAGGCTCGCAGCCGACGACGGATGAAACAATGCTTTCTTCCGGTTAGTATTCGTGTTCTTACTAGTTTCCGCATTCTCCTCTGAAACAATTGGTTTGGCGGTTGTACTCGACCGGGAGCGTGAAAAGGACGGGCTAGATGTAGGTGCCTTCGGATCTGAGCTGTTTGTTGAGCCGGTGTGGGTAGGTGTGGGAGAACGGGAGGCGGAAGCGGAAGCATTTTGTGAGCTTTGTTCCGGACGACTCTTTGCGGATTTAGGGCTTGATGGTAGTGAAACGTCTGAAGGTGTTGAATAAGGCGATTGCGACTGTGGAGAAGGGACAACCTCTGAACGACGTGGATGTGTGGACGGTGAAGTGATTGCAGACCTAGAAGACGCATAAGTAAATAAAGCACATTTAATGAGGTAAATAATACCGACTTGTAAAGCGACCCGAACTGATTGAGCATGTGCACGTAGTCACAACATAGTCCGAACGTAACTGCGTCAACGGGTGAACTATCGGTAGCGACAAAAAATTTCGCCTTCGTATCGAAAAGAAATGCCTTATCAGAGGATGACGTGGAAATAAAGGCATTTAAAAGTTCCTCCAGGAAGGGAAGGGATCCTGGTGCTAGGATGCGCGTAAAGACGCGCGCAAATGCTTCTTGGAGAGAATGATCATAGACGGATGTAAGGTGGAACATGTACGGAATTTGCTGTGCTTCGAACGACGGCCCCGCTGGAGAAGCGCCATTGATGCTTAACAGCGGAAGGTCAGACAATTCTTCCATTAGACGTGTCTGGATGAGCCGGTAGCTCTCTTGAAAATAATTTAGCATATAGGCACAAAATACGCAGCATATAAACCCGAAGCTCACCAGTGCGATATTCCTCTGTCATGGACTCCGCCTTATGAACGAACACCTCGAGATTGATTTCGGGGCTTTCTTGGAAGGCAGTCACAAAGAAGTCGATGAGCCGAGCAATCGGATTGTGGTACGAATCTTGAATGTCAATAACGAAAATGATTGTTGTGAATATAGATAGGGGTACACCAAGGGTTTCGACTGTCACTGTTCCAGGACAGTCCCATATTTCAAGAGGAATGAAGGAGCTGTGATAGTGGAAACTCAGCTCTTGGCACGGATGCGCGATGCGTAGCACTCACTCGACTCTATGTTTCATCAGTCTCGTAGTTGGTTCAACAAAGAACGCCTGCTTCGGGCTCAGATCCTCAAACAGGACCTGTTGTATGCTTGTCTTTCCACTCCTGTATATCCGCAGCCGTAAGCAACTGCAACAGGCGGTTCCGGTGTTGTAGACGCGCTCACCGTCTAAGGCCGACCAGAAGTATCTTGGTGCGAATGAATCCATCGTTGACGTCGGACACAGACGCCTGCTGAGCTAAGGTTGGCCGTGGTTTGCTGGCTGTCGACGCCTGCGTCGCATTGGCAGCTTTTGCCGACATGGAGGCTACAGTCGACCGTCAACCGTTGACCGCTTCGCTGTTGACGCGGGTGTAGTCGCGTCCTTTATGAACTTATTACAGTTACGGCAACTACCGAAACTGTGCCAATGACGTTACAGTGTCTCCGAATATGTGCATGTCTCCTTGCCAGCTAGCTACAGCATCCCAGGCGCGTTTATTGCTGACATAACTGTTAGACTGGCAGCGGAATTGTGTGTACCGGTAACAACTGGTGTGTAGTATTTCCTTAGTAATTAGCTTCCTGTAGTTACAACTATGTAAAAGTAGACCTTCAAGGTCAAAATGTCACAGTATTCCCTGTGATTTTACTAAGTTTGATCCGTTATGCTAGTTAGAATAATAGCGTCGAATGCCAAAAGAGCTGGCTTAATAACTTATATGTGCTCCAATGAAGGTGTTCCGCTTCTAATTATTTTCTCATGTACATGGTCCTGGCAGGTGTACGTGATGAAATGGCGCTCCTCTTGCGGCCCGGCTCGCGGCTAACGACAGCTTCAGCTTCAAAATGGGCCACTTCATAAGTTCATTAGAATTGCAGATCTCGGACTTAAGATAAGCAGAGAGAGCAGTGAATACACGCCCGGATTAGGATGTGTACCAAGCTTCATCTAGGCGGGGAGAAATACCGACAAAAATAGCCTGTGTCGGCACGCGACACGGACTAGCCAGGTAATTTCTCAACAACACAACAGCCAACTTCAAATGCTTAGAGGACGTGCTGGCTGGTTCTTATTTTCCAAGACGTCCAAAGGTGCCATGAATATACCTCGTCGCGTAGGCTGTTCTAGCACCTGTAATATCACTCTACGGATTCTTTTTGTACGAAATACTATTCCGTCCATGAAAGTGCTGTTTTATGCAAACTAGTTATAACACTTGTAAGATAGGCGTACTATCATTTCCGGTCATTTCTGAGGTTGGAACGCAACAGCCGCGATTGAAACATTGATTTATACGTTACCCATTCCAAAAAGAATGCATTTAAATTCAACTGAAATGAAGGCGTTCAAGCAACTGCAGAGGAGCTGGAGTCACGGCAGCACGTAAAAATGCGTGGCTGTGCTCGTCGATCGCTTCTGTCCGTCCGGAAAAGGGAGACCATGAACGCACGTTCGACGGCGCCACCGGATCTCATTGGACCGCCTTCGTCTTCTCTCAAAAATAATATTCTTTCTCACTCTTACCCTTCTCAAGCCCAGCCCCTTTAGTCGTCTCTAGCGCAGAACAGTACCCATGAAATTTGGCAGAAAAATTAATGTAAGTCCTGGGACTTTTCCTCTCAGCGGACTGATAGTAACCTCCGCGGTGCACAGGCTGACTTATACAACGAATGGCGGGAATTCTACCTGGATTATAACAAGCTGAAACGGGAGCTTAAGGTAAGCCATCAAGAGCTGTACTTGGCCACATCGCCCCTATCCCGAATGGCAATGCTCTTATGAATGTTTTGGGCGCAATAAGCTAACCTCCTTTTGTGCCTTACACATTCGTCTATTCTATTTCACATTTCACCCGTTCTGTCAGATCCCGGAGGATTTTTATTGACTTTAATTCAATTTCTTGCTCTGTAGTCACGGACGACTTCTCATTTGTGGACGGATGATGACGAGCTTTCTTTCGTTGGAATGCTCGAAGTTGAGCTCGACAAGATTCATGATTTCCAGAAACACAAGACAACGGAGCTTGCGCGAAGGATTTCGGCAGCCGAGGCTAGTGTACAACGGCTTGTAAAGGAGGAAGAGGCATACCACGCATCATTTTCTGGCCAGAACAATGCAGCTCAGACGGATGCACAGCAAAGAAATGGGTACGGGACAATGGTGGACCTAGAACGCCAACGTCGTGCGGGTGGTGACAATGACGGGTCCGATAGCGCATCCGACGACGACTCTGAGGGCGATACTGACAGCGGAAAGAGCTCTGATACCTTTGAAGAGCAGTTCCGATGGTTAGAAGAGGAGGTCGCTACCCTCGTTGCTGATGTCCATGATTTGGCTCTGTATTCCAAGCTGAACTTAACGGGATTTATGAAAATTCTAAAGGTATGTGTATTGCCTCCTACGCCAGTTTCTTGCCTTACCTAACCTTCTGTAGAAACATGACGTACGTAGAACTCTTACTTACGAGTCAGTCCTGCCCGTTGACACATGTTTGCTCAGAAACAAACGAGCCGAACCATGAAGGAGACCTTTATCCATTCTTATCTCGACAAACGCCCATTCTACAAATACAACTGGGACGGATTGATTGTTAAACTCTCTAAGCTGTACGACCTGGTACGGACACGCGGTCATCCAATCCAAGGTGATTCTTCTGCTGGTGGGAATCAGAGTGCATTCGTGCGGCAGACAACAAAGTACTGGGTAAACTCTTCTGTCTTCTCTTATGCAAATCATGCGCTGATGATTTATGTAGGTCCATCCTGACAATCTCGTACATTTGAAACTTGCTATTTTGCGTCATCTTCCTGTACTTGGTAGGTTTTCCACGATAGGCCCTCTTGACGCTGTCTAAAATTTATTGCCGCGAAGTCTTTAATGCAAAGAAGGACTTTGAACAGAAGGATGCTGGTTAGTTGATATTGTACAGAAATGCATTCCCGATGCCTTTACCGACACAACATTTGTAGCTATTACTTCTATTTACATGGACAACGAAGACTTGGAGCTTTATCTCGGACGTCTCGAAAAGACAGAAGGGGCGGAAGCAATTCGTCTTCGCTGGTATGGAGACATGGACGTTAAGCAGGTTCGTCCACGAGAACGTACATGACAAAGTCTAATTGCCAACACTGATATTTTTTATAGATTTTCGTCGAGCGAAAAACGCACCGCGAAGACTGGACTGGCGAGAAGTCCGTAAAGGCACGTTTCCCCATCAAGGAAGCGAATGTCAACGCTTTCCTGCGTGGGGAGTATACCATGGATGACGAGTTTAGGCAACTTGTAAAGAAAGGGAAGAAAACCGAGCAAGAAGTCGAATCGATGATTCAACTTGCTAATGAAGTGCAATATGCCATTGTTACAAGGAAACTAAAGCCAGGTGAGTTGCGGGCTTCTGTTCAGGGAGCAGTGAGTCAAATTTGAGGTTCTTTAATCAGTCATGCGCACGTTCTACAATCGCACGGCGTTTCAACTTCCTGGTGATGCACGTGTTCGCATTTCGCTGGATACGGAGCTTACAATGGTGCGTGAAGACAACTGGGATGGCCGAAGACGATCTGGAGACAACTGGCGCCGAATGGACATTGGCATTGATCATCCTTTCTCGCAACTTCCGTCTGAGGACAAGGAATTGTTCAGGTAAATTTTACTCATCTTCTAGTTGCGAACCCAACTAACGAATCTTTCTTTAGGTATGGCGTTCTGGAAGTAAAGCTACAGACTCAGTACGGCCAGGAACCGCCAGAATGGGTGACTGAACTGGTTCAGTCACATCTTGTCGAGGCGGTTCCGAAATTCAGGCGAGGGACATTTATTTTATTTACTGCACAGGAAATCCATAACAGATCATCTTTAGTAAATTCATTCATGGCTGCGCGACGCTTCTTCCTCATCGTGTCGACCTTGTACCGTTTTGGCTCCCACAAAGTATGTGCCGCTATTTTCAACAAAATCAGATTTCTGACGAACAGCCAAAATTTCAAGTGGATATTGATATTCTCAAACCGGATACTGGAAGAATGCACATCGAACGACCTACTCATAGTGCTACACCATCAACAGTGGAGACGCCTGATGTCGCAACCCCTGATTATGAACGCCAGCGACCATATACGGAACCAGTCTCTGAGGGTGAAGAAGATGACGAATATGCTCTTGCACCTGCGCAGCACGAAGACAAGGCAACTGGTCTGAGTGGAGAAGCGTTTGCCGCGGCAATTGCTGAACGGAATCACTCGCTCGAAAAGGATCGTGCAGAAAAGTCGCGATCAGTCGCCAAACAATCAGGACGGAGTGGTGATGGCGAAGAATATGCAGCAGATGATGAACGTGCACCTCTGTCCAATGGTAGACGAGGGTTTTTGCACCCTCCAGCACCAATGTCACGCCAGAAAGCACGTAGTTTATCGATTGATCCTCTTGCACCCTCGCAGGCATTCGACGAGACGTTTAGGAATAAACTAACGGTTGTATCTTCAGAACAAGATGAGAGTGCGATTGATGATCCAGATAGCGAGGCGGTTATTGGCCCGCCTGGAAGGAGACTGCGAGGAGACGATCGGGAACTGGTGCGGTTCTGGAAATCGTCGCCTGGGCGGCGGATAGCTGTGCCCGTTCGAATTGAGCCGAAGGTGTATTTTGCGTCGGAGCGCACGTTCCTTGTACGTGTCCCTTCGTTTCTTTTTCTCTTTGTTAATTTGGAGGCAAAGTTGGCACTAACAAAAAAAACAACTCCAATCTTCTCGAACAGACCTGGCTCCAATTTGGCGTTCTCATAGGTGGGATTTCAGCAGCCCTCCTCAACTTCGTACCACCGGACGACACACGCGGACTCATCGCTGCATCGCTCTTCACCTTCGCCGCACTTCTCGCCATCGCATATTCCTGCACTATCTTCGTCTATCGTGCGATCAAGTTGCGAAAACGCCATGCCGAGGGATTATATTATGATAAATGGGGACCCTCGGTGTTGTGTTTTGTCCTTGGCGCCGCGTTGTTAACGAACGTTGGCTTACGCTTTGGAGAGATGTAGGGGCTTCTCTTCTCTTCTCTTCTTTTCTTTATTGTGAGTGATTTAGGTTAGTTGGAGGGGGAAGAGATGTGATGGTGCACTCTGAACGACTTTTTACGTGATCATGCATTCAATAACTGGCACTAGCATTTTTGTTTTCTTGATTCCTTTTCTTGGCTTGTGAACATGTCTTTATGCTATGCTATATAGGAATTTCGCAATTTGCATTGTTAACAACGTAAATCACGTCATGCATTAGTTCATAAAGTTCTGACATAAAATTTCTGAGTTACGGGTTCGAAGAAGGATCCGAAGAATGCACGCGTATGTCCTCTTGAGTCCACGACATAATGATAAGTACACAGCCCCAAAAATGGTGGTGTGCAAAGGGAATGACGAAACGAACAATATTATCACGATTCCCAAGTCTTCCGGCGTCAAAGTTGAATAAAGGGAGACAAATAAAACTCTTATCCAAGAGCGACAAACAAAGCCCAATATATCAATAAATGAAAATCGAAGATTAGAGTACAGTTTTCGTTTTCCGGGGAGGTGGTATGACGGACACAAAGAAAGAGGGAAAGAAAATGAGAAATTCGACGTCAATAACCTAATTGTAGTGCATAGCGATGTTTGCAACTGATATAAGATATGATGGTGAAATAGGATGAGATGATGTAATAAGCAGAAAGCATGATGCAGAACGATGGTAATAACATCGAGTAAGCAAGATAAGTAGTAGATCCAGAGTATCGAAGAAACGAAAAGCAAAGGACGAAACCGACGACAAACGGATGCAACTTCAGCGTAGCATGTAGTGTGTTGTCAAACAAAAAAAAGGAGTCCGAGGGGAAATGCCGACGAAAATTATCCTTGATACGCAAACGCAACGGCGCCATACAATCCATCCTCTTGACCGAGCATCCCATCACCAGCAAGGACCTCCATCTTGCGAGAATGCCAACCGGTCCCGCTACTGACGTTCCCTCGCGCATCTGCGAGGCGTTCCAGCGCCGCGCGGAGTGGATGGTCACGAGTCATTGCACGGCGGAACTCGGAGCCGCCACTTGGGCTCGTATTCGAATCTGCGAGAGGTCCAGGCCCAGTAGATCCGGATGAGAGTTCGGCCGTCCAGCCGCTTGCGACGTCAACGTACCAAGCGCGACCGCCTTTACTACGCACGATGCGCCAAGTACCCGCTCCAGCACCCAGACCGTTGAGAAGCGGCATGGAAAGCTCGAGTACGCGCAGATGCGTTAGCGCGAACTGGGCCATAAGGGCGTCTTCCTCTGGGTCAAGGCCTGTGCAGATGTGTGACGGAGGCATACATAGCGGCTGGATGAGAATTGTATGTAAGGCGAGTGAGGCATTGAAGACGCGGCCTGATACAGGGATGGCGAGTTCGGGTGAGGTACAGATGAGCGTAAGTACTTCGACAGTGCTTGCACGAGCGCGGAGGAAATCTGAAATGGAACGAAGAGAGAGATGCGGGATGTACGACAGTCCTAATGAGCGCAAACGCGGTTGCGGGGAAAATGCAGACAAATGCGCCGTGTTGAGAGGGGCGCTTGAAAGGTCAAGGTATTCAAGAGCGCCGGATGTAAAGCACGGAGCTTGTGCAATGAGTAAAGCGAGGTTATCAGCCGTCAGCGGGGAAGGGTAAGTGGCGTCGCCGTAAAGATTGAGGTGTCGGATGTTCCGGGCACAACGGGTATGTACGAGGAAATCCGTGATGGCGTCACCAGTAAGGCGGGTGCAACGAGCAAGGGCGAGTGACTCCAGGCGGACGGTCGTCGACGAGCCAAGTGCCTGTAGAAGCTCTGGCGTGACACGAGTACTCGACAGGTCAAGGTGCGTGAGTGAGGGGAATGCAAGTACGAATGAGTGGAGAACGTCAGGTTGAATCGTCTTGACACCCAGTAGACAGAGCCTCTGTAGACCCGGAAACTGCATCGGCTCCCTCGCGCCGCGATGTGTGGGCGAGCTCCTTCCGTGATCCTCGTCATTCGGATTGGATTCATCAATATTAATGTATGTTTGGACAAATTCCGTGAGGGCGCTGAAAAATATCGCCGAAACACAACCGGTGAAGTCCACCGCAACGAGATCCTTACTTTCTCTGCGTCGTTCTAGGTCGAGTTCCTCTTGATCGTCACCGTTTTCTAGGGCAAGACTTCGCGCACGAGATGAACGACCTCGTCCACGGGATGGAGAACCCCGAAGAAAGAGCTCCTTCAGCACCGAAAAGGAAAGAGCACCGTCCATATATTCCGTTGCGCCGAAAGCAGTTAGATTTGGACACTCCTGTAATAACACACAAAGCTCAATGAACAAATATAGCACAGCTTCCATGTAAGGAACGACGTTACCTTGAGAACGTTTTCCAAGCGTTCTGTGGTCACGAAACGGTGCTTAATGGCCTCGCCAGTCACCCGGCGCATGCCGATAGTCCGAAAATGACTGAAGTCAATGCGCCGAACGTAGCGCCCTGGGGATGGGTTTTCAGGGATCGGAACTGGATGGCATCATTAGGTCAATAAATGACGTGAAGAAAATCAAATATCAATTTACCGTAAATTCCAGACCCGTCCTGCTGCAGCACAAGCTGGAGGGCGTCGCTGATCGATTGCATAATCTTCCAGCGAGCTGGGCTCTTTGACTTGGCGCGTATACGTCGAGGGGACGGTTCGCGGGAGGCGGGTGGAGATAGTAGCTCAGGGGGGATCGAGCTGTCAGGTCCGGAGAGGGATGCGACGATGGACTCATGCAGCAGCTTTTTAGATTCATCGTCATCAGGCAGACCAAGAGACTTAGACGCGAGTGCAGCGATGGTAGCTCGTCGGATGGAGCAATCTATTTCTTCTTCGTTGATTTCTTCTTCGCCGCTGGTGACTTCAGCTACGAAGGCAAGCCAGTTTTGGGGGAGGCGGACCTCGATTTTGCGCCAGAGCCACGGCCTAGCTGCTTCAAACCAAGCGTGGTTTGTGAGGCAAAGACTAGCGAGGGACCGAAGGGCTAGCTGCCCTGACCATTGTGGAGGAGGATATGATGATGGTAAACCAGTCGGGGCAGCGTTGCTGTGGAAGACTAATGGGTCCAGAGATGGCACAGGGGGAAGCTCGCCAGCGTAGAAGATGGTAGCGCATACAGCATCAAGAAGCTCTGGCGGAAAGTGGGCGACGGCGGATGGTTGCATTGCAGTCGCAGACGCTTGGCAGCAAGGAGAGGTAATGAGTGTTCATCGGCGTCGCGGTAGAGAGTTATATATTCAATCGTATGTCCGAAAGTCACGAGTTGCAGTTCTGAACACCGAATGCCGATCCATGATCCTTCCCTCGCTTACCTCATCCGGTCTGCCTATTGCGTTCATCCTCCCCTTATTCTCAACATCCTTCACTTGCTTGCAATCCTGGCCTGGATAATTTACTACCAGGCGTTCAGAAACATCCCGTCTCTTCCTTGCGCCATCTGGCACGATCTTCCCTTCCCGCCGATGTGTCTTTATTTTAGCACTCGCAAGTCTTCTACTATATGCGTTTTACGTTTCTTCGCATCTGCCATTCCTCCCCATTCTCAATATAGACACTAGTCCCTCTAAGTTCTGCTCCTTTACTTTGGCGACAACACAAGGCGAGTCCAGTGAGTACGTGTCTAGCTTCGTTCCGTACATTGCGAAAGTGCCGAACGAGATCATGCGTTGCCGCTGTCCTGGCCATTCATCCCGCAACGGATCCCTTCCCCCCTTTTCCAGGCCCATTCCCTCTTATGTACAGGTCGCTGAATGGTGTATTTTCCGAGAAGTTCGACTAGTAACTCATTCCGCGTCATCGCCCTTAAATATGAGACCATCGTGACCTGGAACAAATGTGCTCCGTCGCCCTCATCACTGCTTCATCTCCCGAGTCTTGGCAACTGACCTGCTCTTACGTCCATTGGAGACTTACCATTGCCTAAAATGCGACATCCATAACGAATATTTGTATAGGCGTTCAACAACGGAAGTTCTTCTATTTTCTCCAGATCTTGTTACGGCAACCAGCTTCAATGAAGCCAACGTGTCGACTCCCCTCCCGTCGGTTATTTTTGACGAGCAGAACTTTATGCACGTGTGTATTAATTGATCCTCCAGCCATCTTCTCACTCGGAAATCCTGTCGCTCAAACGTGCTTTGAGGTACAACTTAGGCGAGTATGAGTTCATTGGACTTTTTGAAGATCGGACCCGAACGGCCGCAACGTTTGGTGAAGATCCGATACTCCGACGCCCCAGCTGAATATGTAACAATGCATTTGGCGAAAACCTGCGTTCCGTTCAATTCCAATGTATGTGGTGTTGCCCTTCGGGCGTTCATACGTAGCCTGCGTCTGGACTCTTCCTTGTCTGTGTACTTTCTCTCCGCGGAAGTTCCTTAGCCCGACTAAGGCCCCCTATACATACGGATCTCCAATTACATCATTTGTTTCAATATTTGTGCGATATCGTAAAACGTCGGATGATCTTCATTTCTTTACATGCTTGGACACACACGGTCAGTCTCGGTATGCGGTGCGATTAATCCATCTGCGTATATGCGTCTGGGGTGAGACTATTTTAAACTCCTCATGCCTGGAGCATGGGGATCTCGCAACTTGGCTCATTTATTGCGTTCATCACCTCGGCACCCTCACAGTCTTCGTCTTCGCCAGCTTCTTCAAGTTCTAAAATTGCGTGCTTAGGTGCATATGTTGCGGGTTTTGCTAATTTCACCAGCCGCACATTGCATGGAAGCCATTGTAAACTATTTTTAACACTTATACCTGGACAGCGAACTACTGGCAGGGATGCCGCCGCTTCGTGAACCCATAATTAGCACATGCTCGACCACTAGACTAAATTTAAAAATATCAGCAGAGTTAGACGCCTCCCTCCCACCGCTACGCGATTTATGACCGTCCGAACATTCCGGAGACGGCCCTATGTTGAATCTAGGATACTCCTTGCCTAACATGCCACTTTTCTCTAACGTATGCCGGCATGCGTATAAAGATAGTGCTTTGCTAGATGTCTGTCGCCGACTGTTGGGTTATGACTCCAGCACCCACCCTCAAACTTTGGATTGCTCATGACTGTGCGGCTCGATATCCGATGCGGTGTATGTCAAGTCTGTGGCTCCGTTATTTCTTACAAGTTCATCGAAATTGCCTTTCGAGTCGAGTAATGGTCCTACTAATGGAGCGTTTAGAGAAACCGTCAAGTCAAGTATTAAGTAATGCGATATTACATAAATGGATATCACGTGATTCGCAATAGCACATGATTTTGGATCACTGGTCGAGTTCAGCTTTCCCCGTCCCGTCGTCTTGAACCGCTATGTCCACAACAACTTCAGTAGAGGCGACAACGACAAGGAATAGTTCGTTATCCTCTGTATCCGTGCCACTCATGGCTCTCCCTGTCGACGCCGCTGGGCCGGGGAGCATGACTTCGTCATTCTCATCAAGCAGCACAAATGCAACAGCTGGGCCAAGCTCTGCTTCGGCTATATCAACTTTGCGCTCGCTGTATCCAAGGGCCGCTCATGCACTTCTTCAACGGGATTTCACTCTTACGCAGACGATACTCGAATCAGCATTCGAGCTTCTACCGCCACCGTCGTCATTGGGATCTTCGTCCGTCCCCGACTCATTAGACACGCACCGACGCAAATGGGATATACTACGGATCACTCTCGAGACGTCCGCTTTTGACTCTCCGCCTTCTGCAAGCAGTAAGGGAGTTTCTGCAGACGACGTATTACCGCCAACTTTACGTGCGAACCTCATGTTGTCCGCTCCGGGACTCATTACCGCACTTCATACGCGCTCAGTGAGGCTCTTCACTCCGAAGCAGCAAAGCCCGAAAGCAGCATTTCTCCCTGCGCAGATACTAATACCTCTAGTGTATTCAAGTCTCAAGTTACATTGTCCTGACGTTGGACGTGGGATGATCGAGGATTGGTTAGCGCAGAGGGACTCGGTTGAGAGCACTCGAAGAGATTTAGAAGGGTACGAACGTGTGCTGGAGTTGTATTGCCTGCATGTCCTCACTCGGTTACACGATTGGGAGTATGCCCAGGAGTTTCTGGAATATGAAAGCGAATTGTCTGATAAGGCTCGGCAGGTTCGTCTATTCGCTTTTTTTCTTATTTACTTCAAATGACCTCGTCGCTAATTATTGATTAATCAATTCTATGGATCGCAGAGCCTTAAAACGAAACTACAAGTATTCCGCGCTCAAGAAATCGAATCAGCACGTTCAATACCAAGTCCTCCACCCCCTTCACTCCCAAGCTCATCGAGTAGTTCGGGTTCGAGGACACCTTCCCCCTCTCCTTCACTAGAATCGAATTCCTCTTCGGACACGGACGATACACATTCGACACGTACGGTCGTTCCGCATACTCCACGCGCGAAACATGGAATGAATGGTGTGCTATCGCCACTAACGCCGACTCCGTCGTCGTCTTCTACCTCCCTTGCCGCAGAGGCGAAATATTCGAATTCGAATGGACATGCGGGGATTAAAGGAAAAGGACGGTCCGTGTCTCCCGTCTCGGAATTATCCACTGCTCGAGGGAGTCAAGCACTTACTGAACGACGGGCTGCGGGGAGCATAAGTGCGAATGGACATGCGCAACATAGGACGGTAGGAGCGAGGAACAACGAGCCGTCCGGGCTAACGTTTGCGATGAGTATTTTAAAGACGTACATCTCGCAGGTGGGAGCTTCGAGGCTTTTGTTTGCCTTATTATGCCTCCTGGTCCCTGTTTTCTCGTTCTTGGTTCGACTACGCAATAGGCGAAGAAGTCAGAAGGCTATTACTGGGACGCATAGCGGATCGAGCGTGGATGCGGTCCGGAGGAGGTTAGCGGGGCAGGTACGAGGAGGCGGTGGTGGGTTGTTAGGCTCTCTATGGGTGGAAATGATACGTGCGGTGGCTGATGCGGTGCGTATGGCGGGTGGCGGACTTGTATAGCGTATAGCATTATTTCTTCAAGGAGATTTCTAATGATGTTGTTTTCGTGTACACATGTCGATTCCCTGAATCGTTTTTCTTGTTATTCATGCTTATTTTATATAGTTTTCCGTAATCTTGAGTTCAAATTCTTGGTTTTTAAACTCTCTCCTTTGTGCCTCTTAGTTCCTTTCATTGCCTTTGTGCCTTCCTTTCTTTTAATTTGGTTTTGGTTTGTTTTTTAGGGTATGTTCGGATTGATCGTGCTCATATGCATACACGAAATGGGGTAAACACACTTTCACTCTTTGAATTCGGATCTATATTGCGAAGTTTAGCATGGATCCTTGTGTTCAAAATAAGTAACCGATTACAGCATTAAGTAAATGATAAATGACAGCTTGTTAACAAGACTATTGGATAAAGAACGTTTCTATACATTTAGAATGTAATAAAAGAAAACAAGCGACACGGATGGGGATTGATGAATAAAAGTTCTACTTCGTATCTGCCTCGGACATGGGAGATAAACGAGACACGTCAGACAATATTCCTTCCTTCTTCGTTTGATCCTGTAACCGGCAGAGCACCAGTAGCAGATCAACTTAGTTCAAGACTGAAAGATGTATTCCTACATACCTTCAGCGAATTCGATGTTACTGATGGTCCTCGACCTGTAATTGGTTCCTTCATTCGCCCCTCTCTCAATCGCCTCCTTCAGATTGATAAGTAGGTGGCTTCCGAGGATAGACAGAAGAGTTGGAATTCCAACTGCAGATAGGAGGACTGTAACGAAAGGGCCAGCAGCAAAAATTCGAATATCCACTATCTGTATTATAGAACAAAATATCACCCTACATCCACCTGAGTATGGTATATATGCAGAAGTGATCCACTTACAAACCATAGTATAGAACTTGGTCTTCAATGAGGACTCTGACAAGATGGAAACCTTTGAATCCAGATGATATTCTCCAGTACTCTGCTGCCTTAAAAAGTGCCAAACAGAGTAAAATCATCCCATATATTAAAGTGGCAGTCCTGAAATGCATCAAGGAGGGAGAGCAGGGCAGTGTAATATTGTACTCACCATGCAACAATAAGTAGCCGTTGAGAAGGTTCTCTGCTGATTGTACAAATGTTGATAGTTGGTACAATATTACTGATAGAAACTGAAGCATACGTCATTTAAACCGACCCTTTAAGCAGAAGGCACTAGCCATCCTTACTATCTTCGAATATTATGTCGTAAATGAGAAGGCCAAGGTCAATGCCTGCTTCTATAGCAAAAAGTGCCTTGAGCGTGATTGAAAGCAGCCTATTGGTCAAATGAGATTGAGAAGTTGTCCAGCAGATCAGAGTACCTTTTTTGTTGGTATAGCGCCGATACACGGATTTGGAGAATGTCTATAAACAATCATGTGCACCCGATATCAGAATGAAATGATGGAAGCAATACTTACAGTCTATAAGAACAACTGTGATCAAGTCTGGTGCTGCGTTAAATCAGAATCTAATAGCAAGGCAGTCAATAGCGCACTGCATGAGCAATTTGTCCAAAACATTGCACGACCTAATTTCTCAGTTACAGTAATAAGTAGAATGCATGGTCAGAAGGAAAAATACGCACAGCTGAAAACGGTCGTGTTTGGATGTAAGGTTAGCACATACTACAGATAATACTGTTTGTGCTCTACCTCAAAATATCTTGTTCGAAGCTATTGACTAGCGTAAAACTCCAGTGTAAATTGCTTTCCGTAATCTGTATAATGTGTAGATATTTTGCGTACGGATTATACTAGAAATTCCTCCAAGGAGTCCGACGTAGCGATTCTGAACATCAACGTTAAAGTCTGCTCAACCACAGCTAGGATATTCGCCGACAGTCCTCACTGTGAAATAAAGCAGACTAATGGGGTTGCACAGCTTGGACTTCAGTGCTATCATTGAGATATGGGCCTACACAACTCGGAGTTGAGCTCACCCAAAAAAATCTTATCTGTACAGAAACGATACGATTAAGCTAGTCCTCGAGAGATACCTACACAATCCCCATACCTCCTTATCTATTGACGTGACTTGTATTGCGTTACTGTCAGCGAAAGTTTGGAAAGCACATAGGTGTAATACAAACATGCGTAGTAGATCAAGACAGTCAACAGTGCCACGTTGAAGTATTCTGCAATGATTGCGTCGGAGACAAACGATCTCGCTAAGTGCAGGTCAACGTTTACAGCATCGGAATGAGTGGAGAACGAAATAGCATGGCCATAGTCAAGAGTATGACTTGCCATTAGAGGAGAGAGTGCAAGACAAGCTAAAGATACACTCTGGGCTAGCTGTCTCTTTATAAGAATTACGACCTCTGACAGACGATTGTTATGTTACGCTCTGCCTGAGATAATGCATGAGAGAGAGATGCAGAATAAGGAGCGTTTCAATCAAAATTTGATCCGGTCATATCAAGTTATTGATATGAGATGCATAGTCAGGGACTATTGCGGTAAAGAAGCAGATGGACATGATTATGTAATGACCTATCTTCGCCTCTGCTGAGTTAGAGTATCAAGTTCATAATCCATTTTACTGTGTAGGACAACTTGCACTTTCTCGTTTCCATCAGAGATGCACCAGCATAAACCCGAGTCGACTGTCTTGTATCTTTACCTCTGAGTTAGAGAATGGAGATTGTAGAATTTACTGCGTAAAGGAAGAATCGCCCTTCATGTCAACCATCAGAGATGCATAACTAGACAATAAAGCTAAAGTTCTCAGCAATATAAAATCTTGAGCTCGCCCCCAAAAACCGCAAACTAAAAATATGTCAATACTTGAATCTTATACAGAATCTTGTGACACTAATATCGTATCTTCTGGTAATGTAGTATGGGATGATATTACTGATGGTCCAGGTTAAATGGCAGCTGCATTTGTAATATTATACCACTAAACACCTAACGTTAAAGAACGACCTATATACTACAACCACATGTACATCCGAAAGTACACCCAGACAAAACAAACAAGCACCGGGATACGACAGACGAAACTAAAAATCCAGAAACCAAAATCCAAAGCAACAAGGAAAACAAACAAAAAACACGGAGTAAGAGAGATCATCACAGATGTCCGTCACTGTCAAAGAAACCAATAACAACAGGTTCTTTTAGGAGGGGAGGCGATGAATTGATGGGAGCATGATGCTAGTGCTAACAACATAGCATGTAGGAGTTAGTTAAAAAGGAGGCACATCACGCAAGCATGCTCATCATAGTAGCAACGATCGTAAAGAACCCAATAGCGATATACGGCATCACAGTAGTATCAAGCAGATTCGGCGCAGCACCACTGGCATTCGCACCCCCCGTCGAACCAGCACCACCAGTCGAACCACCTCGACTGCTACCAGATGCACTACCGGAAGCAGAAGAAGAGGTGATGGTGAACCCTGCTGCTGTGTCTGTTGCTGCTGCCGCGAACAGCTGTTGGGAGGAGTAGGTTACGCAGTTCGAGGATGCGGGGATGGTTGGTGTGTACGGAGGGACAACTGGGCCGGTCCTGTCGTTAAAGTGGATAATAGGTTAACGAATTAGGTAAATGGTAAATGCAATTAATACGGAGTAATACGCACTGAGGCTGGAACCACGTTGTCAACGCGCCGTTGGTCGAGAACACTCCCGGCGGCGTCATGTCATCACTGTCGCAGACCTACAATAGGCGTGGTTGAAATGTACCAGCGCAGCAACGCAGTAAACAAAGCAAACCGATGATTAGCAAAAAGTCTCACAATAACCAAATTCAAAGGAAAATTTCGAACCTCAAAAGTGCCATTAACATGCCCATAATCCGCAAGCGCATTATACGTGCACCCAATCTCATCATAAATATGCTGGCAAAGCTCAGGCGCATTGGGATCGTTTGGGTTACACATCTTCAAACAAAACTGGCCATTCCCAATAAAATCGATCCACTCGATAACTTGCGTATAATTCTGATTTCCCGTAAAGTTTCCAGACCCGGCGAGTTGCTGGAAAGACGCGGAGTTCATGCCGAAACCATTCGTGAAGACGATCCCACCGAGAGGGTTACCTTGCTCGTCTGCACCGTGCGGGTCGAGCTAAGAATAACCAAACCAAACCAAAGTATAATTAGAACACGCTAGTGCACGGAACAAGAAGAAAGAACACAAAGGAGGTATTGGAGAAGAAGAAATGAAATTTGAAATCGAAAAAGAAGAACATACCTCCCCTCCGGCATCGTCAGCGGCAAGTCCAACTTTAGTCTGGTCGATGAAACCCACGACCTGGAGGTAATTCTTCGCATACAGCCATTGGGCGCCAGTAATTGCCCCGGGAGGAATGATGCGCGTCCCATGTCCGGGAGCTGTACACCACGCTACCTCACGAGCTTCAGATTCTCCTGAGAAATTAAAAAAAAAAGGAGTTATTTGATAAGCATGTCAAATCCAAATCCCACTGTTGTCTCGTGGCGAAATTGCTACGCACCGATGGTATCGTCTGTCTGGCCTGAACTCCACATACAAAAGTCGCCAATGTTGTTTAGGAATACGGTCTAAGATTAAAATGCGAAATTTCCCTAAGAACGGGATGTATGCAAAAAGCAATGATTTATTTACCTGGCAATTAGATTGCTGATTCTCAGTTGTGCTATTACACAAGTTAAAGCCAGACTGCGGACCACGCTCGCCTCCTTGGTCGCCAGTGACCTGGAAGGGTATATCCGGCCAAGTGAAATGCTTAGACGCGAGCGGCTCGAGCGACGTCGACGCAGGGGACTGCGCATTTGCCGCATGGGCAAGCACGAGGCCGAAAAGAGTTAAAAGAGTGTGTTGAGACATCACGCACGCACGGCAAGGTACGCGGACTTCAATAATATGGAAGTACGGATGGAAGGAGGAAATGGAAAGTGGGAGGACGACGATGTGGGTGGTTGGCGAAAGGAAAAGTTCGTCTGACGGAAAGGGCGGGCGTGAGTGCGGGAAGAAAGTGAACTGGCGCCCTCGTGGGTTGATGGGAAATGGATAGACGGACACAGAAAGACCGAAGCTGTGAACGAGGCTAATGAGGCATGTAATCACACACTATAACTATAAATAGACCAACTCAATACATATCCCCGTGTATATATTTATACTTAACCTCTCCCTTGTTACACATATGGTAATACATCACATTAGCAACCAGTCAAGAAAGCAGTCGATAGCAATGTGCACAGTGCTGCTGGCAATGTGTATAATGCCACTACACCGGAACTTGTTTTTGAAGAAACGCAACCTGCGCTTTCAACGACTGCTCGTGATCCGGCCCATCAGGATACAAATCAAAATGTCCTATAACAACCCAGGCTGTGTCAATCTCTGATCCGGAGAGTCTAGACAGGCAACACGCGCCCGCCGTTAACATTGTACGTATTCTAGAATTGCTTACCTCCAGGAGTCCTTTCCGTCACAAATTTATCCGACGAACGCGCAACGCTCAGCGAGTATTCAAGTAGGCACAGCTCGTCCGTCTCAGCAAGAATAAGAAGAACCGGACATGCTATTTTCGATGCCTTCGCCGAAGGCTTGTAAAATGGGAGCTCGAACATGCTCGATGCGGATATCTATTTTTATTTCATACAGGCAGGGAAGGATTTTAATTAGCAGCTCGGACGAGACGGAAGTGCTTCTTAAAAGGAGATAACGCACGCGATTAGGATAGTCCCTAAATACGGACACAACAAGTTAGCACCATCTAAACTTCCCCCGAAAACAAAGGAAAAACACGCCTCTTATCCCGCGCAATCTGCTTAAAGCCGTCTACGCTATCTGGTGTCGTCAAGCCTGCTACCGTCCCAGGTGCACCCGCAACAGGGATATACAGCGGTTCTCGCCCGAGTGCTTGGCGGAGCAAGTCGACGATACCATACCCAACCAACTTGAGGAACACCGTGAATGAAGGTTTTGGAGCACTTCCAACGTAAGGGCATTGCGTGATTGCACATGTGAGTTTTAGGTCCTGCGCGGTCCAGGTAAGAAGTTGGTGAGTGTTTGAGGGTACGACCGCAGCAAGGAGAGGAAGTACATACCTTCTCAACAGCCAGAGTAATGGCGTGTGCACCTATAGTCGTGCAAGGTTAGAGCCCACCACTAGCACCTAGAGTTCCTAACCGAAAGTCTGTCACTTACCCGCAAAGCTCGTCCCCCAAAGCACAACACGCTGCGCATCAAACTCCTCTTGCTTCTTCACCCATCCAATCACGGTCCTATAGTCGTCCAGCTGTTCTGACACGTAAATACACTCACGCGGCGTGCCATCTATCCGTCGTTGATAAGGGCTTACCCACAATAGCAGTGGGATAGGGGTTAGAGCGGAAAGCACGAAAAGACACACCAGAGTCGCCAAAGCGTCTGTAGTCGAAAACGACACATGCGTATCCAAGAGCTGTGAACGCCTCGGCATACGGCGTGAGGCTCATCTTCTTGTTCGCAGAGAAGCCGTGTGCCCTATGATGACGCAGTCAACCATCACTGTCTGTGCACTAAAAAGAAACGAAGTGCAAAACCATACATGACAATAACAGGATGTGGTCCAGCCTTTCCCTTGTGTTTTATCGGCACATATTTCCATGCATCCAGGTTCCAGCCCGATGTCTTTGACGGAATCTTCACTGTACTCAAGTTGAAAGGTGCGTTGTTGTCAGACATGGTGGTAGGTAGCAGTGTTGGTGATAGGCGCTTGGCCAGTGACGACGCCAAGGTTACACGAGAGCTTGGCGACGATCGCACATTGTCTTGACGTACGCAATGATTGTCCTGTCAATCGCTCCGAGATTGGATCAGACACTATCCATTCGACAGAAAGAATACGTGAAGTGAATAAGCATAGCCAGACATGTGCATCGAGCTACAACTATGAATGTCAATGGACTGAAAGATGAGACAAATATCCAGATGTATATATTATCGTGTCCGTGCAAATGTGCAAACAGACTCAACAAAGTCCTTTATGTAGATACGGTAAAATCCCATCCGCAGACTAGATCGTGAAACAAACTTAAGCAAACATGCTCATCATGGTCGCGACCATCGTGAAGAATCCAACAGCAATGTATGGCGCAGCGGTCATTTCAAACGCCGCGATTGAACCACTGTTCGTGCCAGTCGCCGATCCGCCGGAACCTGATGAGCCACTCGAAGGCTTTGATGAACCAGAGGCGGATGTGATGGTGAAGCCAGCTGCGGTATCTGTTGCTGCCGCCGCGAAGAGCTGCTCGGAGGAGTATGTTACGCAGTTGGAAGATGCCGGGATGGTGGTTTGGTATGGAGCGGAGACAGGGCCAGAGCTGCGCAAAAATCAGTTGAGCTGAACTGCTACGATCGAAAAACACTACTGACAAAGGTTGAGTCCAGGTGGTCAATGCACCGTTGGTCGAGAAAATACCAGGCGGAGCCATATCGTCACTGTCGCAGACCTATAGGCCATAATGCAGACACCAATGAGATCACTATCGTACTCCTACTTCTTTCAAAGAGACTAACCTCAAACGTGCCGTTAATGTGTCCGTAGTCCGCAAGCGCGTTGTACGTGCACCCAACCTCATCGTAGATGTGTTGGCAGAGCTCAGCCGCGTTGGGGCCACTCGGGTTGCACATCTTCAAGCAAAACTGGCCAGCGCCAATGAAGTCAATCCATTCAATGACCTGCGTATATGTCTGGTTGCTGGTGAGGTTGCCAGATTTGACAACTTCTTGGAAGGATGCAGAGTTCATCCCGAAGCCATTCGTGAAAACAATACCGCCGAGCGGGTTGCCTTGTTCATCGGCTCCATGAGGGTCCAGCTAAATTACCCAAATTTATGTTAACCCTTGTTGTCAAAAACAGGAAAGCAGTGCGACACGTACTTCACCTCCGGAATCATTGGCTGCGAGACCGACTTTTGTTTGGTCGATGAAGCCGACGACCTGCAAATAGTCCTTCGCATACAACCACTGTGCACCAGTGATGGCACCAGGTGGGATTATACGTGTGCCGTGTCCAGGAGTAGTGCACCATGCAACTTCACGGGCCTCCGATTCACCTTCATACGTGACATCAGAGGTATATCAGCCGTGCTTATATAAGTGGCAACGCACCGACACTGTCATCAGTTTGACCAGAGCTCCACATGCAAAAGTCGCCGATGTTGTTGAGAAACGCGGTCTGAACGCATCAGTCATAAATTCCTCGCATCTGTGACTTGTGAAGAGAAAAAGGGGCTGCTTGCCTGGCACATAGACTGCTGGTTTTCTGTCGTGCTGTTGCACAAGTTGAAACCCGCTTGGGGACCGCGCTCACCTCCCTGGTCCCCAGTAACCTGATAAGGAATATCGGGCCAGGTGAAATGCTTGGATGCAAGCGGCTCGAGCGATGTCGACGCCGGTGACTGCGCGTTGGCAGCATGGGCGACGGCAAGGCCAAAGAGAGTCAAAAGAGCGTGTTGGGACATGATGCCCGTTGTGGTGAGTATTAACAATGCTAGTGTGTGGTATATAAGCAGAGGTGAGGGTTAGAGGCAGCAAATAGGCGCCAAAAATGAGAGAGAAAAAAGGCGAGACGGTGGTAGAAAGCAAGAAAAGCGGGCTGTGATGAGAGATGAGAGAAAAGAGAAAAAAAGAGGGGATGGGTTCTGCGCCACCCCTTAAATAATTCCGAAGACAGGGTGCATCCCATTTTTAACCTAGCTGTGCTATTAATATCGTGCGACATCCTATATTAGGACGTCGATCATCATTTCCATCATCAAAGATTTCATCTTTTCTGCTCGCGTTGCCATCCAATTTTTCTCCGGCTCAGCTCAGACTGCGCTCTCCGATTCAGACTACCACTACAATTTTGCACGACTATGATTATCTGTTTTTCTAGTACTACATGGCTTTAGATAGTCCTTGACTCTACGGAAGAAACTTGTTTGCGACGTCAGCTGGCGGCTGCGCTGGCACAATTTCGGGTCCCGACTCGACCTAGATCCATAAGGGGTAAGCGAAAATACCATGCGATGTAATGAAACAGGGCGTAATAAGCATATAACTCTCATGGTCTCACCTTCTTGCCCAAGTCCTCGATCTTCTGTTTCAACACGTCAGGCTCAATTGTCCCCGTCACCTTGACCGTCTTTTTCTCAAACGAGACGTCATAATCTTCGACACCTTCGTTATTCTCTTTCACTTCCTTGAGCATATTATCGATGGCAGTCCTGCAGCCATTGCAGCCCATCTGGATTGGATAGCAAAGTCCATGGTAAATAACAGTATCTGCAAGTATTGATGTGCAGAGAACGTACTTTGACTTTGAAAGTTATGGTCTGTGCGCCCTACACCACACCAATTTCTGTCAGTCTGGGTTACGAACACGTGCTCCTGGTTAACAGTCACTCACCTTCGAGGGCTCAGTAGACTGATCCGCATCAGTTTGGGGAGCTGCAGTGGCGTCTGCAGTCACGGGAATGGGCTCAACTGCAGGAGCACCAACTGCGGCGGCGGTAGCAACTGCGATCGTAGCATCGCTTGGTTCGCCTTTTGGTTCAGGTGCGTTGGGAGCCTTGTCGTTAGATGGCATCGTATCAAATCACTGTCAACAGGTCCACTGGACGGTGGGTGTTCCAGCACCTTGCGAAAAAGGCAGTCTTAAATACAGCCGACAGGGCCTAGCGTGACTACAAGTGCTACTTTGCTCGCCATGCAGTTACGAACGGGTACCTTCGTGGTGAACGGCCTGATACAGACTCGCCACATAGCCTTACGTGTTTTCGGTGATTCGGGAGTTGGAAACAAATATGCTATTGAAGTCCTCCTGCACCTATCCATAGATATTGGTACGTATGGCTTATGAGAGGCTGTACTGGTCGCCACACGAAATTCGCTACCCTCAACTCGCGGTCCTTTACACACCTTTATATAACTTGGCCAAAAACATGTAAAGTGCTAATGAAACAGAGCCCTCACACACGGAAGCTAATCAGGATCTAGGATTTCATCCGTCATCTGTTTCTCCTTCCTCTTAGTTGTGTTGTCACTCATCATTTTCCAAAGTTTTGCACTAACGTTGTATTTTAATCTAGACCAACATCGTACCTACACTTCGTGTAATTACACGAACTATCCAATTCTACGTATGCAAATCCATGCAGTTCACGATCCTTTGCTTGACACTCAATTATGCTGCCCCAGTAGGATGTGCAGCCTGCTCCTCCGCCACTGGTGCAAACGCCGTCAACTCCTCCTTCGATTCGATCTGGATGTCCATACAGGGTAAAATAACAGTGTATAATCAGCACGAAATAACAGTGGCGTAACCCGGCAAAATATAAATTCAATACTCACCTCGATGCCCATTACCTCAAGCTTCCTCGTCAACGCTTCAGATTCAATAGTCCCAGTCACTTCAACAGTCTTCTTCTCGGGCGACACATCGAAAAGTTCAATACCTTCGTGCTTTGACTCAGTGAGCATGTTCTCGATGCGTTTTGGCAGTTCACCATTGTCCAACTAAATCAAATAATATGGAATATTCGAATAAATGGGTATGTAACGGTACAAGCGATGCAATGAGAGCGTACCTGGACATGGTACCTGTATGTGCGCACAACCTACGCCACATGGATATCTATAAGTAATGGATGAAGAACGTGATCCTTGTCATTCACTCACCTTTGAAGACTCGTCAGCAACATCCGTTTGGACGCTCTTAGTGGCGGTCAACGCGGCTGGCGGAGCAGTAGCTGACCGAGAAATGCTTGGTCCCGTGGTCGGAACAGCAGCGGGTTTCCTCGTAGGTACTGCTGCTTGGCTTTTAGACTGGGGCACGTTGGGAGTCTGTTCGTTCGGAGACATCGTTTCAAATCACTGTCTGGTTAACAGCTGGATTGTAAGGTATGCAAATACTCGAGTAGCTCGATGGACTGAGCAAACTTATATTCCTCCGACGTTAGTTCCACTTTGCTCAAGGATCAATAGCGCATAATGAAACACGTATGGACAATCACACCAGTCAAGCAATTTCGCCACAGGAACCAGTGACTGCTGTGATTTCCTCGCTATGTATTAAGTGCATGAAAAGCTAAATTTGCATTTACAGACGCGCAAGCAGCCATGGTATCTTGACACATGATGAGCATTCGCCACACAGTATTACACGGAATACTGTTCACGCTTGTAACGGATATGGAGTCAAGAGTACTTGGAACAAGGCGTAATGAATGCATGTTCTTAGTCGTCGTCCCTCTCGCCACACTTACGTTCTACGCGCTGTACAGACAGCACTACACCTCTGCCCAACGGCTTTGTCGCGTATACGATCACTCTCAGTCTGCATGTCAAGTTCATCGCCCTCTCGATATTCATTCAAGAAAATAATACATATATACACGCTACATGAGAATGCTTGAATTCCCACTTTTTAGCTACCAATGCATATCGGGCCACATAAACGGGCCAGGCATCGGACCCGGTCCAAGATCAAAAGGCGGCAGTGGTGGCAGAGGGGGTGGTGGCACGAAAAATCCATTGATTATTGCCTTAGATTCGATCTGATGCAGCAACTGAATTAAAATCACAAATGGAAATCACTCGGGAAATGATTTACCTGTAAACCTAAATCTCGAAGGTTCTTCGTCAAAACACTAAAATCAATAGTTCCCCATACTTCAATCGTTCCGACTAGCTCAACTGTTCTGTAGAAGTTGATAATCCTTTCGTTCCGACTATAGCTAACACTATGTCCCCTGACTCCTTCAGCCGATAAACTCTGGAGCATAATTTCGACAGTAGGGACCCAGTTTCTATGACACGTCAAGTCAGCTTCTATGCTACTATAGTTGTACTTATAAAAGGTATATTTATCTCACTAGGGTGATTCTATATCAGTAAACTTATATGCAGGCTAGATAAGAACTGCAAAAACCGTACCTTGACTTTGTACCTATAAGTACGCTCTGGCATAGTCTACACATATATTTGTGTATACTAGGGATTAACACAATATATATATATATAATAATGGTTGCACACAGACCTGTGTGATTTGAACACGTTCTATCCAAAACTCGGGCATTATATGGAGCAGTAAACCAACAAGAGAGACAAGATCCAAGTAGAGATGCAAGTTTGAAGCCTCTGATTGAATTGGTGCATTATATTGCTCTGGGAAACAGATAGGTACTAGCACTGGTGCAAGACAACTAGTCTGGATACTAGTTTTGCTTTGCTCTCCTGACTATAAATTACTTTGGCTTCTTAACATATTATTACATAAAGCTGGTCTCATACTGCTTTTTATTCCTTAATCAGTTAAATAATTGGATATATATACATATTCTTGCAAGAATTATGGACATGCATTAGAGTTTAAGTACTACTACACTGCTAGTTGCTCAACTGTTGTAGTGATAAGTATAAGAACCAAAATGCAAGCTAAGCATTCACAGTTGTCTCACACTTGACTATCTGTAATATGTTATGGTTCTCCACTCTTGTACCTTCAGTTCTGAGGGTTCCACACCCTTCTGTACTAGAACTCAGGACTTCTGTCCCTCAGGGGTACTGTCTATAGACTATATGTATGCTGACTCTTACTACTACCCCTCCTTACTTTATCATTCTGTTCCTTTGACCACCCTTTCATTCTTTGTTCATTCTATAGTCTCTTACCCTTTGTCCATCCCTTTATTCTTTGTACCTTTATCTTTGACCTTCCTTTCTTTCATTCTTCATAGCTTATCATTCTTAGTAGCTCATACTCTCTGAGTACTCTTGTGTAGTTTAGTATATATAAGTGTACAAGATCAGACTAGTTCTATAGTCTTGATCTTGTCTACTCTAGGTAGTCCTGTACTCTTAGGCTTACTCTATATACTCTACTCTTGTCTTACTCTCTCTCTCTGTCTGTTCTACAAGTTCTGACTATATTCTAGTGCTTACATTCTGTATTTCTGTTGTGTAAGATAGTTATAGTCTGAGTCCCCTTACTGAGCCTTTAGGTCCCCTCTATACTGTTGCTAACATCAGATTAAGACTACCTATTACTACCCTACAACTCTCCTACATTTTAGGTATTAGTACTTACTATTGTATTAATCTCTTTTCTTTGTTCTAACCCTTTTACATTTTTAAATTTTAAGCTTTCTACATCACAAAAAAGTCACAACAAATGTATTTAATAATAGCAAAAGTAATCTAATAAAATGATTTCATAAGCATTACATTCTAAAATAATACTTGTATTTTACTTG